GTAATATCGATGTTAGCACCATTCTTCCGCTAATGTTTGAGTGTTATCGGTACACGCTAAATTATTCATGAGTGCACACGCACACTACAATAATGACGCTCGGGTTGCTCGGATCAAACCCCACACCCCGCGCTTCCCTCGACCAAAAATTGGTGGGGCGCGTCTTCGTGGATGAAACGATCTATACCTGTGAACTTGTGCCATAACATTTTAAAAAAGCTCATCCTCATGCACACATCAAGCCCGTTTGAAACCAAACAGCTGTTTAGGTATGCTGCAGCCGCTGCCGCAGCGAAGCGAAGCACGTCGCAGCGCAGCGGGTCGGTGTAGCGGACGTGCCAAGCTCCAAGGGGTCTACTCTTGTGCCAGTCGATAAAATGCATCATTCGTTATTTTCCGTACGATAACATGGCATACTTAGTAGGTACAGTCACTTAAGTAATTTGTGACACCCAAAGTAGCCAAAAAGTTCGCAACACGTCGTCAGTTGCAGGTTCACTTGGGGTAACTGACAAAATACGGTTTTTGAGTTAAATATACAGTTTTTCATGGTTTTTTCTGCTCTTCCGAATGGTATACGTAAAAAAATTATAGCTTTAAAAAAATCTCGTCGTCGTCTCGTCGTCTTTGTGACGTGCTGTCAACTTTTTGATCACTTTGGTTGTCACGAACTATTTGACGCTGACTGTACACGTTTTTATTAACGTCAAAACGTAACAAGATTATTATGTAATCTTATTGACAATTAGGTATTGTTAATTAACACAAGACGATAATAATCATCGTGCATCCTACCTAATTAATACAACGCACTACTTACTTAAGTTGTGCATAAGCAATCGAGTTGATGGAACATTGATAACAGTACGATGTGGATTCGTTAAGTTTTATTAATCTACTACCCTGGGGAAGTAGTGAGCCATGTCTCATCATAAGTACCATTACCATTTGATTACTTACAGGGAAGACTCACACTTAACAAACGTTGAAAAAACATAGAGACGTGGATCACGTACCTAAAGGTCTAGAATACGTACGTGGGATATTATAGGGAAATAATATCGAACAGTTTTCCAGAATAGGACCCCAGGGCAGACTGCCAACAGAGGTACACCATACATGTGTTTAAGCATGAATAATCCCCGTGGTTTTGAAAAGTAAGCAGAAAAGCTTTTAGTGCAATCAGCAAAAAACTAATTGATCGTAATACTTGTAGAATAGAAACCTGTTTCTACTGAGGTCTCATCAACCAACTTAATGACTTATGATTCGTAATAATACTACTTAATGTCTAAAGTAAAACACAGAAACATACTTTTTTCGGACGATCTTTTAACAACAAAAACGTTTATTTTACTTATGCCCATTTTCATCATCAATCCTTGATTTTTAAGTGACCCGTATGAAAACAAAATTCCTGTTTTATGCCTACTACAGGGGTCACTTAAAAATTAGGGATTGATGGTGAAAACAGGATTAGTATCATAATAAACGAGTCTTACTTAGCTAATGTAAGGTTACATTAAGTCCTACCACGCCCATACAATCCCATCTCATCCGTAAATATGGCCACAAGAGCAAATAATTACTCAAGTCGTATGGCACTGATGGATATGGCTGCTGAATACGAATTACCCCTAAATAAAAGGTGCCATCGATATTATTTCGTAAAGGGCCATTCAGAGAGGAATATTGTGATTGATGGGAGGGCATTGGCATGTCCCCTGGGCCCTTTTAAGCGAGGTTAGGACCTTTTTATCTATTTGTCAGAGGGATAGGTACCTGGATGGTAGTAGGTGGTATCGAAAAGAGTAAAACTGAAAGGCTCAAAACAACAGCTGAAGCACTTCTGGCACTTTACATTTTATTAATTTTTTTTATTAAGTAAGTTAATACTTATTCAAAAACTAATTAAGGTAGGTAACTGACATTAGATAAGGTTAGGTTAGGTCCACCCTAAACCAGGATCCGTGGGGGAGACCATATCGGCTTGTTATGAGCAAGCTGCGCCCGTGGACTCCCCCGCTTACCACCACCATGGATNTAGTACCATTAGTTTTCCGCAACATGGCGAGGGTTTTTATGTTCCTGGTCAGGCTATACTTGTTTTTACGCTTTTTGTATAATTTCAAATAAAAATACGCGGGAAATCGAAAATATTGCCATCAAAAATATACTTTTGAATTTTAGGGACATTCCTTGTTTTGCCCTTCATTTGCAAAAAATACGCTTTCGATTCACTATTCTACTCCAATCACCCAGTTAGTCCCATCACAGCACTTTTCTTGTTCCCCGATCCCGAAGCATCAATAGGGATTCCGCAAATTGGTAGGGAGAGCACTTTAAAGTCAGCCAGATTCCAATTGGACCGACACGTATTTCCCATTTGCCTTTTTCCAACGCGTTCGTGATTTCTTCTACTGACAAAAAAAAATGCATGTGATCCTAAGTGATTTTGGAAAAATAAAACGAAAAAAATGATCGGAAAGAGAAAAACTGTGCACGAGTAGATAGCTTATTTGTTCTAATATGTGAGCTGAAAGTGTAATTTGTTGCGTCTTCAGGTTTTCGAAATTTTGTATTTCCAACGTTTTGCAGAATGCTCTATCTCTAAAACCATTACATGTGCGCCTATAGAATAAACACACACGAGTAGCTCTTGATTTGTGCGTATATGTGAAAGAAACATATTTATGAAAATATGTATTTATAAATATCAAGTAAGTAGTCGAGCTTTTACAACTCTTTGTATAGCCTGACCAGGAACATAAAAACCCTGGCATAGAGGCGCGTCAATTGCATTTGATAGTGCAACACTGAGTACAGTCGTACCTGTGTTAAATTAATAGGCTAACTTTATGTATCAGAATTCAGGATTACGGGCTAATTTGATATTTTCATAAATTAACGAAAAAATATTATTATAGGTAACCTGCTTTAAATAAATTAAATGAAACCATCAATCGAGCTAGTAGAATTTATTTTATTATTCATCAATAATCAAATTCAGAACTTGAATATTCAACTGCAATGTATGCTCATGAACGCTTCAAACTCGGTACTTCTTTCCCAATTCTATAAAATTCAACACTTAAAAAGTGACAAAATTTTTTAAAATAGGTAGTTGAAACAAACCACAGCTAATTTTCATAGTGGACTGTACTATACGATAAACATGTCAGTCAATTTGACAACCTTTGTCGGAAACATTATTCAATGAAAATATTGTCCGAACCCTTAGTATTTCTCTTCGACAAATACTTTAACACATTGTGAACCACTTTTCTTTCACGACTATAAAAAGATTTTAGCAATTTAATTCACAAAACCNATTCAATGAAAATATTGTCCGAACCCTTAGTATTTCTCTTCGACAAATACTTTAACACATTGTGAACCACTTTTCTTTCACGACTATAAAAAGATTTTAGCAATTTAATTCACAAAACCAATTGCGCACATTTAAAATAAAGTTTGTTTACACTTTGACAGCAATAGACTGACATGCAAGGTGACATGTCAATGAAGTTTTCAGTTACTGTTGCCATTCAGCGCTGGTAGGGCAAAAAAAGAATGAGACATGTATAGGCTCCTTAAGAGCATTTGACGATTTGCAAGAACTAATTTAATTAGTCTAAACAAATAAAGATAATTTTGATTTTGATTTTGATTTTGATTAAAAGAAATTAGTACCATTAGTTTTCCGCAACATGGCGAGGGTTTTTATGTTCCTGGTCGGGCTATAACATTGTTTTTTTTTTCTTTTTTTATGAATGCACACATATTAGGTACACACCAGTATCTATCAAAAGAGAACAGGAACACGGTGCACGTATCCTCTTTTCGCTTGTCATTAGTTTTAAGCAATTATTTTTTTAAATTGTTATTTAATGCACAGATTAAAGTGTATGACTAATTAATGGCTAGCTCGTGTCGTGATCATTTATTTAATTTTCAATTTTGAAGCGGCTAATTCAGTAATTTACCTAAATTAGGAGATAAAGGAAAACCGTTTTCTGGCTAAAAATAAAAGACGTAATTAATAGTGAAAAAAATTTAATAGTCTGGAAGAGACTTTGGCGTAAACTAATGACTAAACAATGAGAATTTCCATACAAGTCTAATAAACGTTACAACAAATCAGTACGGGACCATGCTGGTCCTTCCACACGCGATACAAACTCAATTGCTGCAAAAATTACATAAATTGATGATAAGGTTAATAATATGGTATGTGAACAGTTGTTAGTTTTTTTAACTAATACATACATAAAAGCACTTACACTGTGGTGATATACAATATACTGAGTAGATGATGGCACATCAAGCTTCATTCTAGCACCATAGTGCAGTTGTTACAGTAAAACTATTATTAATAAGTTACTTCTGTCTGCGACACCTCAAAGATGAAAATTATCTATTAAATTACCTATAACTGTGAACGGCCCAGTTTTTTGATTCGTAGTTAAAATAACCAATAGTCAAATTTGACAGATGTCAAGTGACAAGTGGTTAAATTTCAGAAAAAAATGTTTTTCGAATAATGGTTAGCTTGACTTTTAGTACATTTTTTAACTATTAGTTAACATTTTGTTAATATTTAACCATTAGTAGCAAAATTTAACAATTTGTTATTTTAACTATGAATCAAAAAACTGGGCCTTAACAAATTAAAATCTAACTTGTATAGTAAATAGGAAAATCATTATAGGAACTTGTTTAGATTTTTTTAACAATTGGTCAAGTAAGAACTATTTTCAGGCTTGACTAATTGTCAACAATCAAATTAATTATATTATTCTTGCAACACTTGAGTTTTATGGCGTACCACGAAACACTCATTCTGGTCATAAACATTAGATCTATGTTCGAAAACAACTTACAAAATAAATACAAATTGTATAGGACAATTACAGCGTATTTATACTAACTAATAAACTAAAAAATTAAGTCAACTTACTGCGCCATATTGAACTGGCATAGATGTCTTTTGGTTAAGCTAATTTTTTTTTATTTCAACAGAGTTAACTATATTTTTGCCTAATCTAACAAATACTAGAAGTGTTCATGTATTATGACACAAAAAAAATCAGAATCATAGAGATATTTTAACAAAAACAAATGCCGCCGATCCTATTTCAATACAATCACTATTTAAACCTACAACTAGGAATATTTGAAAGCACTATGTTGGATTGTGTGTAAACAGACAAATCGTTCTTAGCACTATATCTATCTACTTATAAATTCAGACATTAAAAACAGTTTAACTGTGAATCGAATCAAACTAAATTCTAGGATATACACGATATTTATACTTTAGACACATACATTAATAATACTTCAAATATACAACTGGTATGCGAATATAAACAGTGAATACAAATTGACATTACACAGATGTGTATACATAATCCAACACACCGCTACATTAACGTTAAAAAATCACAGATTTTCGCCATGTCATGGCTAGTTTTACAACACTCACTTTCACTGATCAATTTAAAAACACTCACTGATGAGTGGGTTTCTTTTCCAAATCCTCAACAATCACTCGGGGGTTAATTTCGATGATCTCACTCAATTTCTTCATGGTAAATGGCACCATGGTATTACAGAACGACATAAGAGTGGTGACGTTCTCGTAATTTTCTATCGGGGTCGGTTTGGTACCGTAGTACGAGTATTCCTCCACGTCGGACTCGTCGTAGTAGAAGAACGGTAGTTTGGTGGTAGATTTCTTTGCGACGGTTTGCGCGGGTAGTTTCGTGGTGGATTTCTTGGCGACTTTCTTGGGGGGTTCGTCGTCGTCCAGCTTAGCTATAAAGCTGAGTTGTAATTCTTCTTTGACCGCAGGGGGTAGGTCAGGGTGCGCGGTTTTATTGTGCAGAGCCATCTCTCTGTAGGTGGCCGCGCAGTTGTTGCAGTAGAGGCAGCGGCGCACGTCGGCGAGCATTCGGTAGGTGGCGAGCGCGCGCGGCTGGCCGGCGTGCTCGCGAGCGGCGTGCTCGCGGCCCTCGGCGGCGCTCGCGTGCCGCGTGCCGCACGTCGTGCACTTGATAACGGTTGCGGTCTTGGGCACGACCATGTGGTTGGGGTGCGAGAGACGGTGAATGTCGGCGGATATCTGCAGAATACATCAGTTAGTTACAGTTAATTAAACATGAAATTGAAGTACCAATATTACGGAAAACGCCAAATTGGAAAAGTTTTCGAATTCTTTTAGGAAAAAAGGTTTTCAAATTATGTACTAATTCTCACTTTGTAAATAATAAGGACATTTGTTTTTGCCTTCGCCTTTGTATTCCAGATGTCTGAGTCAAGATCAGTCTTTTTGTGAGGGCGACTGCACATCCTATATCAAGCTACACTGTGGCATCCTTATTATCTTTGTATAGTTCTTGCAACTCACGAAGGCGAGTGAGCTTTACGTACGTACGGCGAGTGTACGTGTACATGCACATAGCGACAGTGACAATGTCTATCAAAACTTTTGAAAAACTAACAGTAGCGAGCTACCACACGACAGCCACGAGCGGGGGGGGGCACGAGCTGGCACGGCCAAGAGCGAGGAGCTACGAGCTAGGGGGGCAAGAGCGGGGGGCACGAGCTGGGGGGCCACGAGCTGGGGGGCCACGAGCTGGTTGGGCCCACGGTCTGTGGGGGGGGCAAGAGCGGGGGCCACGAGCGGGGGCCACGGGGGCCACGTTCTCACCTGCGACAGGCCCTCGTTGCGGGCCAGGCAAGCCAGCGGCGCCGGGCTCCAGGGCTGGTCCACCGGCTGCGGCGGCAGCGTGGTGGGCCGCACGAGGTGCAGCGGGTTGTGCCCGCGGTGCGACGCGCACTTTGTTCCTGTTCTCCTGGTAGCCCACAGGCTGGGGTCTCACCTGCGACAGCCCCTCGTTGCAGGNTGCGGTCTTGGGCACAACCATATGGTTGGGGTGCGAGAGACGGTGAATGTCGGCGGATATCTGCAGAATGCATAAATTAGTTAGTTAAACATGAAATTGAAGTACCGATATTACGGAAAAAGCCAAATTGGAAAGTTTAGAATTCTTTTTTGAAACAAGGTTTTGAAATTATGTACTATTTCTCATGTTGTAAATAATAAGGATATTTGTCTTTGCCTTCGCCTTTGTATTCCAGATGTTGTCTGAGTCAAGGTCAGTCTTTTTGTGAGGACGACTGCACATCTTATATCAAGTCTCACTGCGGGCGCCCGTCGCACAGTCGCGACAGCAACATAAACGCGCGAGCGATAAAGATGGGTAGCTTGGGGTCATTGGACAAAATTCTACGTGCTCGCAGACCGGGCTTTAGTCTGATAAAAACATAGGATGATGTATCGATTGCTACCTGCGACAGGCCCTCGTTGCAAGCAAGGCAGGCGAGCGGCGCAGGGCTCCAGGGCTGAATGACGGGCTGGGGCTGGGGGGGCACGAGTTGGCGGAGGTCTACCGGCAAACCGCTGCCGCAAGACGCAGTGGTAACCCACCAGCGCCCCGGGAAATAGAGCACTGGAGGGAGGAGGCCCGCAACGCGATTGTGGAAGAGTGGTCGGCCTGTCTGATGGAGCCCAGTGCGGGCCACCGGACGGTCGAGGCACTGCAGCCCTGCTTAAAGGAGTGGTTGGAGCGGCGCGGTGGCCCACTTACATACCGGATGGTGCAGGTGTTGACCGGACATGGCTGTTTCGGGAGATACCTGCACAGAATCGGCCGTGAGAGGACCGCCGCCTGCCACCATTGTGATACCGGAATCGAGGACACAGCAGAGCATACTCTAGAGGTGTGCACTGCGTGGGAGCCGCACCGAGCCACGCTCCGTGCGGCCATTGGATATGACTTATCGCTACCGGCAGTGGTCAAGGCCATAGTCGGTAGTGACACCGGATATGACGCATTTAAGGCCTATTGTGAGGCCGTCATGATGGAGAAGGAGACGGCTGAGCGGGAGAGGGAAGAGGATCCCCTCGCAGACCCAGCTCGCCGTAGAAGGATGGGCCGAAGGCGGCGGGCTTTTGCCCGTCGACCTTGATAGTTGGTAGTTGGACATTTGCGGGCAGGCCATTTACACCTGTCTGCAATGCCAATGTTTGTACANAAAAAAAAAAAAAAAAAAAAAGGTTAGTATTATGGCTAAATACTTATGTCCTATTTATTTTTTTTCCAGAACTTTACCCCATAATATAAAAGATACAAAAATAAAATAAAAACAACCCTCCTGCTGACGCAGTCAGGTAGGTTCATCAATTTAGGTTTCATAGATTGATAACAACTGTGTGCCTACCATGAGTTTACGTTAGGTGAGCTCGCTAGCGAATACGTCAAAAAATTCTATGAAGATTTTATTTCTGGAAAGTAGCCGCTAGGGGCGCTGCACAATATGTCATACATTTAAATGTCATTTTTTTACGCAGTCGCTAGCGAGCACATCTAACGTAAACTCATGGTAGGCACACTGGAGAGCTTTATACATTTGAAGGGTACAGGGGCAAAACAAGAAATGTCACAAAAACAAAAAGTTATGTAATGAACATTTAAATTTTTTAAAGTTTAAAACATTCTTGTGTCACTTAAAATTATAAACTACTAATAGGAATACATATTATGACTATTATAGCCTGACCAGGAACATAAAAACCCTGGCATAGAGGCGCGTCAATTGCATTGGTGGGGGCACTGCCGTGCCCCCAGATTTGATAGGGCAACACTGAGTACAGTCGTACCTGTGTTAAATTAATAGGCTAACTTTATGTATCAGGATTCAGGATTACGGGCTAATTTGATATTTTCATAAATTAATGAAAAAATATTATTATAGGTAACCTGATTTAAATAAATTAAATGAAACCATCAATCGAGCTAGAAGAATTTATTTTATTATTCATCAATAATCAATTTCAGAACTTGAATATTCAACTGCAATGTCTGCTCATGAACGCTTCAAACTCGGAACTTCTTTCCCAATCCCATAAAATTCAACACTTAGAAAGTGACAAAAAAAATTAAAATAGGTAGTTGAAACAAACCACAGCTAATTTTCATAGTGGACTGTACTATACGATAAACATGTCAGTCAATTTGACAACCTTTGTCGGAAACATTATTCAANGGGGGCACGAGTTGGGGGGCCACGAGCGGGGGGGGGCACGAGCTGGGGGCCACGAGCTAGGGGGCCAAGAGCGGGGGGCACGAGTTGGGGTGTTACGAGTTGGGTGGGCCCACGGTATGGGGGGGCACGAGCTGGGGGCCACGAACGGGGGCCAAGAGCTGCGGGGCCACGTTCTCACCTGCGACAGGCCCTCGTTGCAGGCCAGGCAAGCTAGCGGCGCAGGGCTCCAGGGCTGGTCCACCGGCTGCGGCGGCAGCGTGGTGGGCCGCACGAGGTGCAGCGGGTTGTGCCCGCGGTGCGCGGCGGCGGCGTGCGCGCGCACTTTGTTCCTGTTCTCCTGGAAGCCGCACGCGGTGCACGTGTATGGCTTCACTCGGTAGTGGCTGGAAAGACATCAAGACAGTTAGAACAGTGCTACGAGACTGTAAATCAAGGTGCAGTCACGGAATGAAAAGGTTCGTCAGTTTTCAAATTGATTCCTTCAACGAATCGCGAGTACATATTACCTTTTGAAACTATGTTACAGAATAATCTCAAGTTAGAGAAAATAATCTTTAACTGTTCGTCAGTAAAGTTCAAAATTATTCAGATCAAAGTTGTTCGACGATTTATCTTGTCAAGAAGATTATTATGATTGATAAACTAAAACCTTCTTGTTGGTTCAACCTGCCATTATTATTTCTATTAAATAAAAAAAACTATTGTCAATTGGTCAATGTCATCATTGCATTGCTGATGGGATAGAAAAATAAACAAGCAAAACCTTATTCCATGCCATAATCGTTAGCAAACGTCCATATTTATTTAAATGTTAGCAGCACTGTTTCTTGCACTGTTATGTTGGCAGGTTTGACTCTTACAGTATTGTTCCAAAATACTGGACTGTCCTGTCGATGACATTGACAGTGGGGCGCCACCGTCAATACCGGATCGCTGGTTCAGATTTTTGCCATGTTGGAAACCATATAGTTGAACGATGGTGGCGCCCCCCTGTCATTGAGTTTGGCGGGACAGTTCAGCGTGGGTTATCTATACCTAGTGCAAGCGAAAACCGACACTAAGGTGACGAACCTTTTCATTCCGCGACTGTACAAGTACAGGTGTAGTACAAAGTGGATCGACGACTTCATAAAGGTAGCAGGAAAGCGCTGGATGCAAGCCGCTAAAGCCTGGTCCGTGAGCACGTAGAATTTTGTCCAATGACCCCAAGCTCGCACACTCACTGCGGGCGCCCTTCGCACAGTTGTGACAGCAATATTATTACACGCGAGCGATAAGGATGGGTAGCTTGGGGTCATTGGACAAAATTCTACGTGCTCACGGACCAGGCTTTATCAACCGGTCAATATGAAAATCATTGAGGGGAGGCCTGTTCAGCACTAGACGTCCTGTTGTAGCTAAAATGATGATGATGACGAGTGCTATGAAACGTGCGACTATTTTACTATTTGTCCAGTAAACATCATGAATGTATTTTTTTACGATTGATAAGATGAGAGAAAGATTGAGATCTGCATGTAATGTCAAAACTCAAACACTTAAGCAGTATCTATTTTATAGTCCAACGTGTGACAATAGTCGTAAGCTACAGAGCTGTAACTGTCTTATTGAAAATACTAATAAAATGTTTACTCCAACACCGGGGAATCTAGATGCCTGGAAATGCATTTAGGGTCCAGTTTTAGTCATAGCCAACATTGCTACCGTAAGAAAATAAAATTAAAAAAGGCTCAAATATTAATGACGTTAGCACGAATGATGAAGCAGAATATCTTACAGCAGTCAATAATTTATTAACATTAGGCTACCTAAAAAAAATTTTTAGTCCATCAATTTGAATATAAAAAAATATTGGACACGTATATTTTGAATTGTCAATCAAACAAATAATTACAAAGTTATAGTGCGTTGAAGTTCCGCGCGACGTCACAAAGTGCTGCACTTTTACGCACTCACTGACGTCACGGGCCTTTACTTTAGAACTTTGGCACGCTTTATCTCTTTACATTTTCATTAGTTTTAAAAAGTAAAAAATACGTGTCGAGTAGTTTTTGATAAGCTAACTGACGAACTAATTAAAACTCTTGCTTTTTTACCCAGGATACATCCCTATTGGCTAACAGCTAGCTCAGTCTTTCCCAAAGTGGGCGATAAAGCCCCCTTGTGGGCGCTGCAGGCTTAAAGGGGGGCGGTAATAGACCCAGAAGAAAAATCGGGACGTTGTGTAGAGGCTTGGGAGGCGTCATCTACTAGGAGGACTCTTAGACATCGACTGAGCTCGACTCTTGACTACAAAAATGGGGGGCGCTAAAAAATAATTTATTCTCAAAGTGGGCAGTAGACTAAATAAGTTTGGGAACCACTGAGCTAACTGAAAGAGAAAATTGTAAATTACCTGCAAATATGGTCTCTCAGCACATGACTGTATTTGGTGGTCATGTCGCAAAACGGGCACTTTCCGCCCGCCGCGGCGCCGGTGCGCTTCTTGGCCACGCCCTGTCCCGAGGGGGCGGGGCCTGTGGAGGGGGCGGGGCCAGCGGAGGCAGGGCCGGGCTCGTCGATCACCAGGCGATCGTCGTCGCTGTCGGTGCTGTGAGGCCGCTTGCGAGATATTTGAGGAGCGGTCGGTGGTGGGTTCCTGGAAATAGTGGCGTGGATAAGTATTGTTAACAGTATGTTATAGTTCCAAAATAGTGAACTGTCCTATCAATGACATTGACAGCGGGCGGGGCGCCACCGTCAATACCGGATCGCTGGTTCCGATTTTTGCCATGTTGGAAACTAGAGATGAAACGGATAGTTGTTTGGCCGGATACCGGATACCGGATATCCGGCCAGCTGCTAGGCCGGATAGCCGGATATCCGGCGGCCGGATAGTTGGCCCATTGTCTCGTTGCATGTCGTGACGAGTATAGTGCCGCACAGGTGCTTCGAACGCGATCAGTGGGTCTATTAGTAGAATAGACTAGTCACACTTTTGGAAAATCGAATCCGTCCGAATAGAATGTCAGATTTTGCCACTTGTCTAGGGGGCAGATCAGCGTCTTTCCGTTCTATACATAGCCAGAACGCAAGGGTGTGAAACTAATCGAGTATAGTTTGGAGATGACTTTTTTTACTAAGCTCTTCCAAACTATACACGATCAGTACGCAAAATTCGTGTATAGTTTGGAGTCACAGATTTACAAACGGGCACTACAAAATATACACGAGCAGTTTCCTATGGGTGCGTTCTGGCCATGTATAGAACGGAAAGACGCGGCAGATCAATTCAATTTCGGCTGCAATCGTGAGTGTGTGATTGAATAGCGAAAATTTAACTATACTGGTCATCACAAAAATCGGCCCACCTACGTTTTACAGTAAAACTCGTTTCTACTGACACAGTCATGGTGCCCCAACAATATTGGTGTTATTTGAAAGCCCAATAAATATCCTTAAAGAAAAACACATTTAATTTCTTAATAAAAGATTAACATAAAAGCGATATACAATAAATATGACTTGAAAAAAGACCTCACTTTGGGCTCACCTCTGGGATCAATTAGACCCATTTTTATTGTTATAAAACCAAATAATGATCTCACGTGTCCTCTTTAACAGATGGATAGCGATTAATCCCAACTTACAGTTTTATAGCCATGAACGACTTTCATCAAGCGTAACTACCTATTTTTTGAAGAAGTGACTCTGGATTTTTCTACAGACACATTTTTGGGGTTAATTAACACCTTTCCTTTAATGAAATGAAGTTTAGAACTAGGCTTTTAAATGGTGCCAATATTGGTGGGAAGTGGGGATGCATACGTTTGAAAGTGCTTGTCGCGGGAGGGTCGATTTTTGTGATGGCCAGTGTAATTACATGATGTCATCAGACCATCAGTGAAAAAAAAAATCGCCTATTTTATTTGGCAATATTTCGACATTAACAGATATTTACTATTTATCTATGTATTCGTCATTAGAGTGAATAGCCCAGAAAAATAAATTAGTCTTAAAAAGGCCTTAATATGGCTTTTTTGTAAATTTTGGACTTTAAATAAAAGCCATCATTATTGTAAGCCATTTTATTGATATTTACCTCAAATATTAATGTATTTCATTTTATTAATAGGAAATTGTCGTTTTTTTTTTAATATCCGGTATCTGGCCGGATAGTGAGTTACTATCCGGTATCCGGCCGGATAGTAAATTAGGGCCGGATATCCGGCCTACCGGATAGTTGCCGGATATCCGTTTCATCTCTATTGGAAACCATATAGTTGAACGATGGTAGCGCCCCCCTGTCATTGAGTTTGGTGGGACAGTTCAGCGTGGGTCATCTATAGTACAAAAGTAACTTCAAAAACCAAAAACAATATCAATAAAAAAGTTAAAAAAAACCATAAAGAATATTAAAAAGTATTACTGGCAAACATGTATTATAGGTGCAGGCGTGGTATATAAAAAAAGACGTTAACTGCTGGACTACGAATATCCACAACGACCGGTTTTGAGCTGCCCACCTAGAGTGATTCGAAAGATTGGTCGAGTTACGTAGGAAAACAAAAGACACCGTGGTAAAAATGTAATAACGATATCTGGCAACCCAGAAGCGTTGTATGCTCTATGGCCCCTCTCTATGGTCTCTTTTTCCTACCATTCAAGTGTGTGCACATGGTTGTAAATTATCTTCTCAATAAATAGAATATCACTGAAGTTAAGTGTCTTTTGTACCTGCCGCATCACTCTGTTCACACCGACATAGCTCAAAAAATTGCTAAACTTAAATAGCACGTAGTAGAACTGATGGATGGCTGTTGAGAGAGACGCCTCTAGCGTCTTGGTCTGACACTGGTTTTGTGACCTCTGTTATTTACAACCAAATTAAGCCTAAAATTAGGCACCGCACGCACACAACACTCGCTCCGTGCTACCGCACGAGTTTTAGCGGAGGCCTTTTAACGGGTGTGGGTGCTTTTAACTGGTAACCCTACTGCGCTTCTCATAAATAATATTTCGAAATACAGATACGGAGTTTCAACGTAGGCCTTAATTATTATTAACGCTCGTACCTCGGCGCAGGCTCTTCGGTGGAGACGCTCTCCTCGTAGCGGACGACGAGCAGCGAGTTGTCGGGCGCCGGTTCTGGCGGCGGCTCCGGTGCCGGCGTGTGCGTGATGGGAAGCGACTTCATGCTTAGTTTTTGGACCTGGTGGAATAACGAAATGTTGCGGTTAAAATGAGTGTTAATATTTTTATAGACATGTTTTATGAGGAAATAAACAATGGTATAAGATGAGAAATTGGCTTAAAAATAAACACTTTCTGTCGTTCGTTTCCCTTTGTTCGGTATAGGACAGATTCTGGGATTGGACAGATTCGTGGATTCGGCAGATACTGGATTGGACGGATTCGTGGATTCGGCAGATTCTGTGATTCGACGGATTAGCTATACGACAGAAAATGAACAGTCGTGCTCAAAAAGATTAAGTAAAGTAAAAATTGGCCAAGTGCGTGTCGTGACACGCGCAGTGTAGGGTTCCGTAGTTGTCCCTCGTTACCACAATATATTTGAAAAGTAAGCGATTACTTTATCTAAAGTAACTTTTCATATTTTCTCCTAAGGATTTGTTATAAAATATGAAATTTTATAATACACTAGCTGACCCGGCGAACTTTGTTCCGCCTTAATGGCAATAAATAAGCAGACTTTTTTTTTTCGAACGGGATAAAAAGTATCCTATGTCCTTCTCCTGGCTCTAAACTACCTCCCGGACAATTTTCAGCTAAGTCGGTTCAGCCGTTCTTGAGTTATAAGCGAAGTAACTAACACGACTTTCTTTTATATATATATAGATGAGTTAAACGACTATTACTCTTTAACTACCTAATCTATCTTAACCGTTATAGTTTTCCTTGAAAGTTCATAAAAACAAGAATTATTGTGAATTTTTACAGATTTTTCAAGCTAACAGTTTAGTTTTTAGAGGGAGGAGGGGGGGATTGTTACCGCAGCACTGAAGAATGAAATAAATGTATTCGATTGTTTATTAAAACCCAACTACGACAAAAAACGACGCTGAAAAAGTATAAAACAAGATTTTCAGAAAGTAATCTAAATCTTGCAATGGAACTGGCCTCGTGAGAGTGAAGCGGATCTGTTAGCGGAGATTACCTGCAAGGCAGCGGCGAGCCAAGCGGAGCGGAGCGCGGGGTCGCGTGCCGCCTCGCGCGGGCGCGCGGACTGCCGCGGGTGCGCGCTCTTGCAATGGAACTGCGCTTCGTGGTACGTCTGGAAGGTCACGGCGCAGTGGCTGCAGTGCCATCTGGAAAACGAAATAAATAGATAAGTAAACTTCCTTGGACATTGTAGACTATAATACTTACTTAATTGATTATTTAAGGTACAGCAACTGATTACAAATGCTTACGTAGATTACGTCAAAAAAGGAAAAAATCTTATCCCCCTGCTCCTGCAGTGGATACTAAAAATAACCTGTAGGCCTAAGATGCGCGCCGTGATAACTTTTACCGACGTCAAAATGTATGGGCAAAATCGATAAAATGGTGGGATAACCGCTTATCGCGGCGCGCATCTTAGGCCTACTGATGGTGGTGGTACACAGTGCTATCTAGTTCCAAAAGTAGTTAGGAACAACATCATAACAATCTAAAACACTAATATCCTAATGTTTTAATAAACGCTATGTTATAAAAGAAATGGTTAACAGGATATGCTAGAAATTGTACCTTAATCGTTTGTAGCAGGAAAACCTTATTAAATTACAATTTACAAACATAGTAGTACTATCTCGGACCTCTATCAAATACCTACCATGAGATATTTCTAAACAAATTACAGGGTGATACATAAGCGAACGTTCGTAACAGTTTTAATTCCGAAAACACTTCATGGAGCATAACAATAGACATGTTGACACCACCAATCAATTGACGTACTTTTTTAAACTGTCAAAACGAAACTCTCCCATAGTTTTTGTATGGCACTACAAGCAAGTGACGTCACTATTTTGTCAACTCAATTAAACTACTTTTTTCTATTACAATGTGACCAAAAATCGTAATTTACGGGTAATTTAAAATTACTTAAGTTTTTAAGACCAGAATGAAGTGTCTTTTTAGAAAAGTTTTGATTTCGAATTATTGCGGAATGGTGTCAAATTGTCTATTGACAAGCGAACTCAAAGCGATTTCTGGATTACAACTGTCACTTTTGCAAACATTGTCTATGGAGGCTGATCATAGCTAAAGCTTACCTAATCTTCGTAAGCTCGCTTTCCAAATGGTCTCTCATAGCAGCCTCATCCTTAATTTTAGTAGAGCACTTGGGGCAGCAGTACATCATACTACACGGCTGGCCGAACGGGCCGAAAGCCTTCTCCAGCTCCGTCATGGTCGGTTTCGGCTTCGGCTCTTCGGGCACGGGCGTGTCGGGTTTGGTCGGCTTTGGGGGACGTTCCGTGAGGATCTTCTGCTTGGATAGGTTATCTGTTGAAGGAAGAAAATGGGTTTTGAATTGTTGGAGAGTTTTGAGACACTAATGCCCGTTTTCAGTTCACCATCAATCCCTAATTTTTAAGTGACCCCTATTTATAACATGATTTTTTTTTCATAGGGGTCACTTGAAAATTTGGGATTGATGGTGAAAACAGGCATTAGGCCCGATTATGCTAAATGCTAGGTTAAGGTGAGGGTCAGGCCTAGGCTAAGTAAAACTTAAACATGAATGACACTATTGTCCACAAACCACTAAACGCCTACAAAATCATTATTAGCAATTATACTGAGAAGATAAAATGTGGTGCAAATAATTTGGGTGTTTTTAAAGTGATCAAACCAACAGTCAGCGAGCCGTAAGCGCGGCGGCACCTAGCCGTGGCCGAATCGATACTGAACCTTAGACTCCGTTTTCACCAAGGCGGAGCGGAGCGAAGAAATTGAATAACCAGTCACATTTCATTCTGTTAATTTCATTATCTGAATGAAATTTGATTGGTTATTCAAAATATTTCTACGCTGCGATTCGCCTTTTGGAAGCCGGGCCTTACGTGCATACGTTAGTTTGACGCCTATTTGTCGGCGAGGCGAAAGGTGATACGTTGTCTATCCCTTTTCGTGTTGATATGTATGCTGCGACCTTAAATCTGCCTAGGAGCGTGGTTCCCCGACCTTCACTGGTTGGGTTTTTATTGGCGCTAGCTTTAGATCCTGGCTACACAGGAGTTGCAGCGGTGGCAACGAGAGGTGGGAATAGTCCCGTGACCACTGACCTTTGTTATTAACAATGGCCGCTCCCTGGTGCTGTAACAACGCCGCGACCCACTTCTCGACCGCCATGTCGCGGGGCAAAGCCCGAGGCGGCATGTGGCGGCCGCGGTGCTCCGCTGCCACGTGCTCCGCTAGTCCTGCGCCGTGGAACGCGCGGTATGAACACATCGCGCACTCCCATCTGAGGAATTATTGTCTATGAACATCCGGCTCGAAGGACCAATGATAATGTACAGTCGACAGCACATCAAGCTATACATTTTCGTTGCAAAGTCGCCCCTATCGCAACTACGTAAGATACCACAGTGTTTACGTTGACGTGCTGTTGACCGTACTATCGGCAACAGTGTTAACTACTATTGCCGGTCATGTCGTCTCGTTCTATCGCAAAGAATCACCATTTGATGAGAGCGAGAGAAAAAACGGAAATGGATAGTTAACAGTGTGGCCGTGTGTACATTATGAAAGCAATTTAAGCAATTAACATATTCCCCTTATTACAAACCCGAACACTGGCACTGGTTTAAAATGACATTTCTATACTAAATGTCAATTTAAATCAGTTTGAACTCTGGTTGACCAGTCTAACTTTTTGTAATAAGGGGGATTGAGTATTAGGATAAACTGCCTTGCGTAAAAAAAACGATCAAGGTGTTGGTTATTTTGTAACCTTGGTTACATTTAGACTTTGGTTACATTTTTGTTTACAACCACACGTTCGTTTATAGCACATTATGTACATAGAAACCACTAGAACATCTTAGCAAACGTTTTAGTATCATTGAGTGAGTTTCATCAATCAGCTACCATAATACTATGTACAAAAAGCGAAGCAATACACTTAAGCAAAAAAGTGAAAGCTATAAAACAAGCCAATTAGTAAAAGCAAAAGCACATTACATAAAAATATACGTACAAAAACAAGCATCCAATCAATGTTCCAGCAACATTACACTTACTCTCACAGGATTCGAACCCGCAAAGCTAGCTGACGCAAATCTAAAGCTACTTAAGCTCAATATTATTCCTGTACAAGTGATTTCTTTCGAGCTGAGAATTCTGTTTAAATTATACACACCTCCTATACTTGAGTTCTTCAAAGAGATGCGATTGCATAGCCTCCTGGGTGATCTCGACTGTCGAGCATAGCGGACACTTGTAGCTCAGGCCATTGGGCTCGCAGAACTGGCCATATTTCCGGCAGAGGGCGTCCAAAGGCTCGTCGTCATCAGGGAAGGAATCCGTCAGCTCCTGCTTCACTATGTTCAGGTTTACGGCAGGCAAGGGCGTTGGGGATACCGGCTTTTGAGGAGAGGCGATGAGCTGAGCTAGAGTGAGGTCAGAGATTTCGGGTTTGACCTGTTGGAGAAAGGCNGTCGCGGGATTGAAAGCGGAGACAGGCCACTCAGAGGGGCGTGACTTAGCCCATGGTGGACCACTAAACCAAAGCGGGTGATCAATAATTTGTGCGGGTGTGAGACCACGCGACAAACAATCTGCGGGGTTTTCACGACCTGCAACGTGGAACAAATCTTGCGGTGATAGCTCCTCCTGAATTTTGGCTACTCTATTAGCCACAAACGTATCCCACCTATGAGGCGAGGAGTGAGCCCAANGGCCCACGGTCTGGGTGTGGGGCACGAGCTAGGGGGCCACGAGCTGAGGGGGTCACGTTCTCACCTGCGACAGGCCCTCGTTGCAGGCCAGGCAGGCCACGAGCTGGGGGGCCACGAGCTGGGGGCCACGAGCTGGGGGGCCACGTTCTCACCTGCGACAGCCCCTCGTTGCAGGCCAGGCAAGCCAGCGGCGCCGGGCTCCAGGGCTGGTCCACAGGCTGGGGCGGCAGCGTGGTGGGCCGCACGAGGAGCAGCGGGTTGTGCCCGCGGTGCGCGGCGGCGGCGTGCGCGCGCACTTTGTTCCTGTTCTCCTGGAAGCCGCACGCGGTGCACGTGTATGGCTTCACTCGGTAGTGGCTGGAAAGGTAGAGACAAAGATATAGGGTAAATTGCCAGTCATTGGACACTTAAGAAAGTTATTGGCACGGTAATACTATCTAATTGGACAGTTATTTACTGAATTTAAAATAGCATTTCTATTTCAACAACTGAGAGATTCCGACTGATGGAGATAAAAGGGCGTTTTTTTGAAGGAATATTTATTTTAAGAAAATTCAAAGGTTGTTTTGTCCAATGACTGGCAGCGTCCAATGACTGTCGGTTTACCCTAGTCAAAGATTTATTCGCCGAGACAGAGTAATATAAATGTTACAATAAATACAGTGCAGCTTATCTCACCAGCTACAGAACAGTGCTACGAGACGTGCAAGTATTTTACTATCCCGTGCTGTATTTTCTAGTCAGACGTATAACGATGGTTGTGAACTTCCGACCATAGCTATCCTATTGAAATACTAATTTTTACTCCAACAACACCTGGAAAGACCTAGTTACCCGGAAATCCTTCAAGTACCAGCGATTTGAGATACAATGAAAATCAATTATTAATGCGGTCCCATGCAACCACTTAAGGTTCCACGAGCTAGATAAAAATGAAATATTGAATATTACCTGCAAATATGATCTCTCAGCACATGACTGTATTTGGTGGTCATGTCGCAAAACGGGCACTGTCCGCCCGCCGCGGCGCCGGTGCGCTTCTTGGCCACGCCCTGCGCCGAGGGGGCGGGGCCTGTGGAGGAGGGGGCGGGGCCTGTGGAGGAGGGGGCGGGGCCAGTGGAGGCAGGGCCGGGCTCGTCGATCACCAGGCGATCGTCGTCGCTGTCGGTGCTGTGAGGCCGCTTGCGAGATATTTGAGGAGCGGTCGGTGGCGGGTTCCTAGAAATAGTGGCGTGGATAAGTATTGTAGACAGGCGTAGTACTATTTATCAGTTTCCATTGAAAGATGTTCACTAGTAGACATCACCTGAATTTGATCACCCAGGTGATCAAAATGAACTCCAGGCGACACTTTGGTGTCTTTTGATCACCCACGGATAAAATCACCTAAAGTTTGTTCGCCGAGAGTTGATAAATATTATGAAATGTCTTGCAATAGCGACTGTCACTCAATTATCGCATTCTGTATGGCGGGCGTCGTTTGTCACAACGCGCACTGAGTACCATGGTACGAGCCACGCAGCTGTCGTCAAGCGCCCCGGCCGGCGGGCCGCAATGTGTGAAACGCAATGTGTGAAACGGAATAGATTTATTTTACTTATGACCGAAATGAATGGTATGACAGTGGGTAGGGCTTTGCCCAACATTGGGATACACTATACTGCCGCACAATTTATAAACGCAGTAAGTAACACTTGAACAGTTTCGAGAAAAACGCGATCAAAGTTGAAATTTTATTTTGGGGTGTCTACAATTAGTTACGCAAATATTTGTAAAAAAAAATATATGGGCTTATAGAGCTAAACTCAAAGTTTATTTTGATATGAGGTTTTTATATTTTAATTAATATTTTGTATTTAAAATTATTAAAAAACTGTTTATGTTATGGATTAACTAAGTTTTCGTTCGATACTTACTACCCATGAATGCAGTATGATTGTTCCTTACTGCGTTTATCAGTAGTTTTCGTTACTTACGGTACATGTGTTAAATGATTGATTTAAATTTTAGTTCTTACAACGTAATATATGCGCCGTATCTTTACAACTTACTGCATTTATGAGTGGGAGTGTGAATCAAAATAATCTATCAAAACTTTAAATGCGCAGTAATAATACAATTATACTGCGCTTATCATAAGCCAATAACGCTTTCATGTTGAACTTTCCCAAATGACCAAGGGGTAAATGAAACAAGTATAACAAAATAATTGCTGAGATCGCTTGTTATTAAATCAAAAATTAATATATGGCACCCACTTTTAGATCTTAAATATACCAATCTAATAAAATAAAGACTCGGTCGTTCGTTTCAGCCGAAAGACGTCCACTGCTGGACAACGGCCTCCCCCAAGGATTTCCACAAAGACCGGTCCTGTGCCGCTCGCATACAGGCACCTGACGCGACCTTCACTTCTAATCTCGTACAGACACGTCCGGGATATCTTCGGTATAGTGTCGGGTCAATCTAGCTCTTGGGTCTTCGGCTAGATTTGTCATTTGGACAGGTTTTCAACTTCTTCCAATAACGTAAGAGTCAGCCACTGCGTTCATAACATGTTAACACCTAGGCAGCACTCTGACAATCCTTAGTATGTACGCAGTATAATTGTAATTACTGCATTAATATTAAGTACAAGTCACCTGTTTTTCCTATGGAAACATAATATCAGTGTGTGTTTAAGTGGAATTACTGCACATATACTATGTGCAAGGTGAACTTAACAATTGTAGAAACATAATAAGAATGATGTAATTGGCACATACTGCACTATTACTGTGTAGCAAATTAAGTAAGCGCGAGTATTCACGTAATATTAAGTTATTATGTGCTCTTACTGCTAACATAGTATGTGAAGAAACCTACAATCTGCTCTTTACTGCGTTTATGATAACATGTATCTTCCGTTCTAAGATAGATAGAAAAAAACGGGTCTTTGATTCTTATAGATCGTGATGTCATGATTAAGAATATTCAAAACAATCATAAATGCAGTAAGTGGTACTTACTGCGTTTATAAATTGTGCGGCAGTATAAGCCACTTGATAATAATGAAATACTTTTTATCCAACACAGTCATGGACGCCACGTGTTTGATCCGTATCCCCACGTATGCCCTAACCGGAATAATTCCCGTAAATTTAAAAGAGATATTAATGATAATCTACCAACATTTTCATTATATCGACAAAAATAATTAGCGGGCCACAATTTATAATGAGTTTAGAACCTCTGATATTTAATTTTTTTTATCAACTCTCGGCGAACAGACTTTAGGTGATCAAATCGGGCTTCTTATCAAAGTGGAATAGACCAAATTGGAGGGTCGTGCTCCTTCAGTGGAGACCAAATGACCTGACGAATATTGATTTTAGTATGTGAAATGCAATTTTAGGGTTAAATTTAGTATCTGAAATGCAACTTTAGGGTTAGATTTATTTTATTTTAATTTTATAGAAAATGTGAATTTTAATGTTGAACTAATTAATTTTCCTCTACAATGTATTTTGTTTTTGGAATGAATAAATGAAATGAAATGACGATGACGTACACACGGCCACACTGTTAGCTATCCATTTCGGATTTTGCTCTCGCTCTCATCAAATGGTGATTCTTTGCGATAGAACGAGATGACATGACAGGCAATGGGTAGTTAATACTGTTGCCGATAGTACCTCGGCGCAGGCTCTTCGGTGGAGACGCTCTCCTCGTAGCGGACGACGAGCAGCGAGTTGTCGGGCGCCGGTTCTGGCGGCGGCTCTGGCGCCGGCGTGTGCGTGATGGGAAGCGACTTCATGCTTAGTTTTTGGACCTGGTGGAATTAAAGAAAGCTATTGTTAAAATGTGGTAGGACTACAGGAAACCCCTTCGATGTCACTTAGCTGAATCTCTAAGCCTAAGCGCAGACCACCGATTTTTTGTCGGCCGATAGTTTAATCGGGCAGTTAATCAGTATGGGCATGAATGGAAGTGCGCACATTACACCGATTTGATTTTTATACAAATTACAATCGGGTCCAACTATCGGCCGACTAAAAATCGATGGTCTGCGCCTAGACTAAGAATTTTATTGGACGTCAAGCGGACCTACGATGTAAGGTTATGTTCACATGGCAAAAATTTGACGCGCGTTTTCAAATCGCGCGACTAGACATCGTAGTATTTACATACAACCGATCACATGAGCACGCGTTAACGCGCGTCAGCGAGCACGCTTTGACAGCTGTGTAACGTCCGTTGACTGTTCAGATGAACGCGCGTTTCCATCGCAATAGCTTCTTCCACGTCCATTTTCTAAGCTCCAAGTTTGAGCCATCAAAAAAAAATTGAATGAAGGGTATGCTATATTTGGAACGTGTAGGAAAATGGGCTTACACACTTTTTTATTTGATGTGAGAGTGAACTGGATTTGTTAGCGGAGAAGTTACGTACCTGTAAGGCGGCGGCGAGCATAGCGGAGCGGAGCGCGGGGTCGCGTGCCGCCTCTTGCAATGGAACTGTCTCGTGAGAGTGAAGCGGATCTGTTAGCGGAGATTACCTGCAAGGCGGCGGCGAGCCAAGCGGAGCGGAGCGCGGGGTCGCGTGCCGCCTCTTGCAATGGAACTGTCTCGTGAGAGTGAAGCGGATCTGTTAGCGGAGATTACCTGCAAGGCGGCGGCGAGCCAAGCGGAGCGGAGCGCGGGGTCGCGTGCCGCCTCTTGCAATGGAACTGTCTCGTGAGAGTGAAGCGGATCTGTTAGCGGAGATTACCTGCAAGGCGGCGGCGAGCCAAGCGGAGCGGAGCGCGGGGTCGCGTGCCGCCTCGCGCGGGCGCGCGGACTGCCGCGGGTGCGCGCTCTTGCAATGGAACTGCCTCGTGAGATTGAAGCGGATCTGTTAGCGGAGATTACCTGCAAGGCGGCGGCGAGCCAAGCGGAGCGGAGCGCGGGGTCGCGTGCCGCCTCGCGCGGGCGCGCGGACTGCCGCGGGTGCGCGCTCTTGCAATGGAACTGCGCTTCGTGGTACGTCTGGAAGGTCACCGCGCAGTGGCTGCAGTGCCATCTGGAAAACGAAATAAATAGATAAGTAAACTTCCTTGGACATTGTAGACTATATTTACTTAATTTATTTAAGTTACAGCAACTGATTACAAATCATTGCTTACGTAGAACCTGTAGGCCTAAGATGCGGGCCGTAATAACTTTTATCGACGTCAAAATGTATGGGCAAAATCGATAAAATGGTGGGATAACCGCTTATCGCGGCGCGCATCTTAGGCCTACTAATGGTGGTGGTACACAGTGCTATCTAGTTCCAAAAGTAGGTAGGAACGACATCATAACTATCTAAAACACTAATATCCTAATGTTTTAATAAACGCTATGTTATAAAAGAATGGTTAGCAGGATATGCTAGAAATTGTACCTTAATCGTTTGTAGCAGGAAAACCTTATTAAAATACAATTTACAAACGTAGTACTACCTCGGACCTCTATCAAAGACCAAAGGGCAGGCCTCCTACTAGGTGGACCGACGATCAAAGACCTACCATGAGATATTTCTAAACAAATTACAGGCTGATACTTAAGCGAACGTTCGTAACAGTTTTAATTCCGAAAACACTTCATGGAGCATAACAATAGACATGTTGACACCACCAATCAATTGACGTACTTTTTTAAACTGTCAAAACGAAACTCTCCCATAGTTTTTGTATGGCACTACAAGCAAGTGACGTCACTATTTTGTCAACTCAATTAAACTACTTTTTTCTATTAAAATGTGACCAAAAATCGTAATTTACGGGTAATTTAAAATTACTTAAGTTTTTAAGACCAGAATGAAGTGTCTTTTTAGAACAGTTTTGTTTTCGAATTATTGCGGAATGGTGTCAAATTGTCTATTGACAAGCGAACTCAAAGCGATTTCTGGATTACAACTGTCACTTTTGCAAACATTGTCTATGGAGGCTGATCATAGCTAAAACTGACCTAATCTTTGTAAGCTCGCTTTCCAAATGGTCTCTCATGGCCGCCTCATCCTTAATCTTGGTGGAGCACTTGGGGCAGCAGTACATCATACTACACGGCTGGCCGAACGGGCCGAAAGCCTTCTCCAGCTCCGTCATGGTCGGTTTCGGCTTCGGCTCTTCGGGCACGGGCGTGTCGGGTTTGGTCGGCTTTGGTGGACGTTCCGTGAGGATCTTCTGCTTTGACAGATTATCTGTTGAAGGGAGAAAGGTTTTAGTAAATTGTTGGAAAGTTTTGAGACACAATTCCCTAATTTTTAAGTAACCCCTATGAAAACAAAATGCCTCTTATGTGTTACCATAGCTTAGAAATTAGGTATTAATGGTGAATTGTGTAAATGCCAGGCTAAGGTCAGGGTCAGGCCAAGGTTAAGTAAAACTTAAACATGAAAGACACTAGCTGTTGTCCACAGGCCACTAAACGCCTACAAAATCATTATTAGCAATTATACTGAGAAGATAAAATGTGGTGCAAATAATTTGGGTGTTTTCAAACTGATCAAAACAGCGCTCGGCGAGCCGTAAGCGCGGCGGCACCTAGCCATGGCCGAATCGATACTGATCCTTAGACTCTGTTTTCACCAAGACGGAGTGGAGCGAAGAAATTGAATAACCAGTCACATTTCATTCTGTTAATTTCATTATCTGAATGAAATTTGATTGGTTATTCAAAACATTTCTGCACTCCGCCCGCCTTTTGGAAGTCGGGCCTTACGTGCTTACGTTAGTTTGACGCCTATTTGACCGCTAGGCGAAAGATGATACGTTGTCTATCCCTTTTCGTGTTGATATGTATGCTGCGACCTTAAATCTGCCTAGGAGCGTGGTTCCCCGACCTTCACTGGTTGGCGTTTTTATTGGCGCTAGCTTTAGATCCTGGCTACATAGGAGTTGCAGCGGTGGCAACGAGAGGTGGGAATAGTCCCGTGACCACTGACCTTTGTTATTAACAATGGCCGCTCCCTGGTGCTGTAACAACGCCGCGACCCACTTCTCGACCGCCATGTCGCGGGGCAAAGCCCGAGGCGGCATGTGGCGGCCGCGGTGCTCCGCTGCCACGTGCTCCGCTAGTCCTGCGCCGTGGAACGCGCGGTACGAACACATCGCGCACTCCCATCTGAGGAATTGTTGTCTATGAACATCCGGCTCGAAGGACCAATGATAACGTACTATCGGCAACAGTGTTAACTACCATTGCCGGTCATGTCGTCTCGTTCTATCGCAAAGAATCACCATTTGATGAGAGTGAGAGCAAAAACGGAAATTGATAGTTAACAGTGTGGCCGTGTGTACATTATGGAAGCAATTCAAGCAATAAACATATTCCCCCTTATTACAAAAAAGTTAAACCGGAGAACTGGTTTAAAATTTCTATACTAAATGTCAATTTAAATCAGTTTGAACTCTGGTTGACCAGTCTAACTTTTTGTAATAAGGGGGATTGAGTATTAGGAGAAACTGCCTTGCGTAAAAAAACGATTAAGGTGCTGGTTACGTTATTTTGTAACCTTGGTTACATTTATACTTTGGTTACATATTTGTTTACACACACACGTTCGTTTATAGCACATTATGTACATAGAAACCACTAGAACATCTTAGCAAACGTTTTAGTATCATTGAGTGAGTTTCATCAATCAGCTACCATAATACTATGTACAAAAAGCGAAGCAATACACTTAAGCAAAAAATGTAAAGCTATAAAACAAGCCAATTAGTAAAAGCAAAAGCACATTACATAAAAATATACATACAAAAACAAGCATCCAATCAATGTTCCAGCAACATTACACTTACTCTCACAGGATTCGAACCCGCAAAGCTGGCTGACGCAAATCTAAAGCTACTTAAGCTCAATATTATTCCTGTACAAGTGATTTCTTTCGAGCTGAGAATTCTGTTTAAATTATACACTGTACACACCTCCTATACTTGAGTTCTTCAAACAGATGCGACTGCATAGCCTCCTGTGTGAGCTCGACTGTCGAGCATAGCGGACACTTGTAACTCAGGCCATTGGGCTCGCAGAACTGGCCATACTTCCGGCAGAGGGCGTCCAAAGGCTCGTCGTCATCAGGGAAGGAATCCGTCAGCTCCTGCTTCACTATGTTCAGGTTTACGGCAGGCAAGGGCGTGGGAGATACCGGCTTTTGAGGCGAGGCGATGAGCTGAGATAGAGTGAGGTCCGATATTTCGGGTTTGACCTGTTGGAAAACGGTGTTTTTAGTTAGGATTTTCGTGAGTATGGTTGACAAATTAATCATGATAACAGTAAAGACAATTGTCCTCTAAGAAAAGGATATTTAATTATAAAATAAATTCATATTAAGACTATCGATACAGCATTTTATTTTATGAGTTGTAGTGGCCTCAAAAGGTTCAAAGAAATTTGAAAAATTGTGCCGTAGGCAGACGTATTTTTTTCATTTAACCAAATCTATGCTTATTGTTTGATTTACATTTGGAGCTTTAAAGATATTGTAAGAGATTTTCACTTTGTTTTAAGAAAAAGAGCTCAAGTTAAGGTCTTAAGATTTTTTTTTAGTATTTTTAAATGCTTAAGGGCACCAACCTCGGTCTCAGCCTGCGTAATGCCGGCGCCTAGGCGCTGACGCTGCCACCGCGGTGTGCCATCCGGTTCATCCGGCACCGCGCCTTCCTGGTAGAACATATGCACCACCTCCTCCGTCCTCCCAGGGTGAGAGTTCCCCTGGTGCTTCTGAACCGTCTCCAAGGACGAAGCCTTGAACGGACAACACCCACACTTGTACTGCATCTTAGACTGATGATGCTTCCCACAGTGTTCCACAATCGCTGGCCGTAACAAACTCTTAAACGGACACAGTCCACACTGCCACAGTTTCAAGTCCATTCGTTGGCTGCCTGCAGGTTGCTGGCTGCTAGTTTCCACCTCCTCCCGTATCACAATAAACCTCCCGGTTCTACTGTGCACGGTGCTAAGATGCGTCGTCACCGAATCCCTCTTGTAATGGCAGTACATACACGCGGAACACCCGTACAGAGTTGACGATTCGTGCATTTTTAGATGCTCCATTATGCGCTCAAATGTAAGTGGGCGTGCATCGAATAGATTACGTGAGCAATGCACGCAATGGAACTGAAGTAGAGTGGAGTGGAGAGTGTTCCAGTGACGGTTAAACATGGCTTCATCGAGTGAAATGTACGAGCAGTCTTTGGCACCGCACGCGTATCGCTGTCTTTCTGGGACATATTTGGGGTATTTCTCCGCTTCTTCCGGCGTTATTTGAGAGGTTACGGTCGTTGGAGTCTTTTCAGGGCCACGAGTGACTATAGAGCTGGATGCCAGGTTGACCATCTTGTCAAAATGCATCTCATTGGTTTCTAAATGCGGGACAGGGTTGACGGGTGCAGTGTTAGGCGCGGGCTGCTGCTGCGCATGCAATTGTAGATGCCGCACCATATTCAGGCGCACTTTGGTGCTGAATTCGCACTCGGAGCAATGCACCGCTTCGTCGAGAATCGGGTTGATCGGTAACTGATTTACATCTTGAGGTCCATAGCGCTTCTTCGCAGGAGGTTCGCCACCAGTTCCGCTAATTTTCCTCTTCGGTGCTTGCTTGTCAGTTTTATCCGCAGATCCTGGCTTCGGCCCAGGCTTTTCAGGAGCCACCGGTACGATAGTATACATGAACCTCTGGTTCTGCAGTTTATTGCTGCTGACCATCATCTTGGAGATCTTGTGTGCGAGCTTCATGTGTCTCTTCGCGAGGTTTATGGCGGTGAACCTTTCTTTGCAGATGCCGCATATGCTGGCCTGTTCGCCGTCATGGTCGCGTACGTAGTGGTAAACCAGATCGTCTCTGTTGAGGACCTCTTTAGGGCAGTGGGGGCATTTCACGACTCCGATCACAAAGCAGTTGTTGGTGTGGCGCTTGAAGCCCCCGCTGTTCTTGAACGCTACGAAGCACTTGGGGCAAGTGAAGAGTTCTTTTTGGGAGATTTTGGCGAAGGGAGAAGGGCGGGGGGAGGGCGATACGCGCGTGGGCGTGGCCTCCTCCTCTGAGAGGTCGATGACGTGTGACGCCGGCTCGTGATCCTCATCGTCGCTATCGAGGCAGTACACCACTTCTCCGGATAAGTCTTTAGAAGGCGTTGGGAGTTCTTCGGGCTCTGTTTTGAGGATTGGCGTCTTCATTCGGCTGCGTTCTTCTTCTAGACTGGTGGGTGTGGGCATTGGTTCTGGTTGAGTTTCGACGGGCGTCGGTTCTGGCTCCGGTTCAGGTTCTGGTGGAGTGATCCTGGTGATGACAGCCTGAGTCACGGGTTCTTCTTCAGGCGGCGAGGGCGCAGCGGTGGGCTGTACAGGAGTCATGGTGGCCATGCTCTCCATCATCTGCTGCGTTGTCCCAATGAGCTTCTCCAGCTCGATGGACCTTTCTGCCTCCCTGACAGGGTTGTCCACTTTGCCTGAAGGTGTGATTTCTTCGACGGGAGCTTTGGACTTGTTAAATGATACTTGCGGTAGCACTCTGTATTCTTCTGATCCGTCCTGAAATTAAAAAGAAAATATTGAATAAATTGATTGTTTTAATGTCATTTTTCATTAAGATGTCTTGGAGGAGCCCTTTGTCCAGAGGTGGACGTCTGAAACGAACGAACGAATGTCATGTATGAATACTAAATATGTTTTATTTATTTATGAATGTAGGTATCCAGAAACAAACATTCATTATTAACACAGTAAAATCCGTTCAGTAGTTTTTACTCGAAAGAGTAACAAACATCAATTCTCGTAAACTACATATTACACGTGCACTGGTACATGTTGAGCTCGTGGCTCATGTAGCTCAGTAACAAACTGGCTGACGCCCGGCTCTTTAAAGCACTAGTATAATAAATATCTCGAACCCTCTTAGTGATCAAGGGCCGCGGGCGGTTTTTCGGGGTGCCTAGCGGACTCGGCAACTTAGCCCAATAACTCATTTGGCTAAATAGCTCGGAGCTCATGTAACTCAGTAGCTCGCCGCTCGACGGCTTGTTATGATAAATATCTCGTTCCTTCTTAGTGATCAAGGGCCGCAGGCGGTTTTTCGGAATGCCTAGCGGTCTCAGCAACTTAGCCCAGTAGCTCGTGTGACTAAATAGCTCGCAGCTCATGTAGCTCAGTAGCTCACCAGCTGACGCCTTTGCTTTTTATAACACTGGTATCATAAATAACTTGTACCTTCTTAGTGATAAAGAGCCGCAGGCGGTTTTTCGGGGTGCCTAGCGGACTTAGCAACTTAGCCCAATAACTCATTTAACTAAATAGGTCGCAGCTCATGTAGCTCAGTAGCTCGCAGCTCATGTAGCTCAGCAGCTCGCCAGCGGACGCCTTGCTATGTTAAATAACTCGTACCTTCTTAGTGATCATCCGGACGTACGCGGCGGGCGGCTTGTCGGGATGCTTGGCAGACGAATGTGCAAGCAACTGAGCCCAGTATGTAGCTCAGTAGCTCAGCATGTATCTCATTAACTCTACGGCGGGTGCTTAGCTCTTTATAGGTATGTCTTACCGCATTAGATGATAAATAAGTGATACCTTCTTAGTGATCATCCGGACGTACGCGGCAGGCGGCTTGTCAGGATGCTTGGCAGACGAATGCGCGAGCAACTGCGCCTCGTTGTCGGCGCCGTGGACGCACCACGTGCACTGATATACTGAGCTCGTGGCTCGTGTAGCTCAGTAGCTCACAGCTCTTGTAGCTCAGTAGCTCGCAGCTCAAGTGGCTCAGTAGCTCGCAGCTCATGTAGCTCGCAGCTCAAGTGACTCAGTAGCTCACAGCTCGTGTAGCTCAGTAGCTCGCAGCTCATGTAGCTAGACAGCGAACGCCTTGCTCTTTATAACACTGGTATCATAAATAAATAACCTGTACCTTCTTAGTGATAAAGAGCCGCAGGCGGTTTTTCGGGGTGCCTAGCGGACTTAGCAACTTAGCCCAATAACTCATTTGACTAAATAGGTCGCAGCTCATGTAGCTCAGTAGCTCGCAGCTCAGTAGCTCGCCGCCCGACGGCTTGTTATGATAAATATCTCGTTCCTTCTTAGTGATCAAGGGCCGCAGGCGGTTTTTCGGAATGCCTAGCGGTCTCAGCAACTTAGCACAGTAGCTCGTGTGACTAAATAGCTCGCAGCTCATGTAGCTCAGTAGCTCACCAGCTGACGCCTTTGCTTTTTATAACACTAGTATCATAAATAACTTGTACCTTCATAGTGATCAAGGGCCGCAGGCGGTTTTTCGGGGTGCCTAGCGGACTCAGCAACTTAGCCCAATAACTCATTTGGCTAGATAGCTCGCAGCTCATGTAACTCAGTAGCTCGCAGCTCAGTAGCTCGCCGCCCGACGGCTTGTTATGATAAATATCTCGTTCCTTCTTAGTGATCAAGGGCCGCAGGCGGTTTTTCGGAATGCCTAGCGGTCTCAGCAACTTAGCCCAGTAGCTCATGTGGCTAAATAGCTCGCCGGCGGACGCCTTGCTCGGTGTAACTTTACTAAGATAAGTACCTTCTTAGTGATCATCCGGACGTACGCGGCAGGCGGCTTGTCAGGATGCTTGGCAGACGAATGCGCGAGCAACTGCGCCTCGTTGTCGGCGCCGTGGACGCACCACGTGCACTGATACATGTTGAGGTCGTGGCTCTTCATGTGGACCAGTAGCTCGGCGGCCGACGCTCTGGTCTCCGAGCAAATCTGAAATTTTAATTCATAAATCATCATTATCATTTCCACTGGCGAACATAGGCCTCCCCCAATGATTTACATCAGTCTTTCCCAAAGTGGGCGATAACGCCCCCTTGTGGGCGCTGCAGGCTTAAAGGAGGGCGGTAAGAGACCCAGAAAAAAAATCGGGACGTTGTGTAGAGGCTTGGGAGACGTCATTTACTAGTAGGACTCTTAAGACACCGACTGAGCTCGACTCTTGACTACAAAAATGGGGGGCGCTAAAAAATATTTTATTCTCAAAGTGGGCAGTAGACTAAATAAGTTTGGGAACCGCTGATTTACATGTTGATCGATTGGTAGCGGCCTGCGCCCTGTAGCAGACGAGAAGAAAATCGGCAAGACCTGGAGCGAGATCAAACGCGAAACTCAAGACCGAACGCGATGGAGGACTGTTGTGGACGCCCTCTGCCCCATCTACATATAGGGCCTTAAGTCGAGTAAGTCATGTGTATGTGACTAAACTTTTGACGCCAATGCTTTTAATTTCAAAACCACTCCTTAGTTGCATATAAATTGGATTTTTAAAGCTGAACTACTAGAATGGTTTTGACAAGAAAGGTTGCACCTTGTATAGTCAATCAATAGTATTAACTAGCAAAATCTCGCAGCTCACGTCGCAATATTGATTTGATACCCTAAGCATATAAAAGTTACACTTACATAGCAATGTACCCATGTGTCCGACGCATGCGCAAGTGTCAAATGTTCTTGGAACTTTTTCGCCACGTAGTTACGGTACTTGCAAGCGCCTGAAAACAAAAGAAAGATAGTTTAAGCATGACAAACCCTTGAAAAAATTTGATAAAAATGATTAGACATAAAAAGGCGTGATAGTGACGAATACTATGATAAGTGTATGTTAATTTTTATCTCATTGCTTTTGTTATTTCCATTAAAGCCTAATAACACATTTACGCCCGTATTCACAAACATTACTATGACTACAGTGCGCATAGACGCATAGGGTCACACACGAACTTAATCACAGAGCTCTATTCAACGCTGTGCGTTCGATTTGTTGCTTCACATAAGCAAGCATCGTTTGTGGATACAGGTGTTATAATTCTATATCCTAAGTTACGCATTTATCCTGAAAACATCAAACATCTGTCCAATCAATCATGTCATTTTTTTTTCTTACAGTGAGTGGTCTTACTGCAAATTGAACCGAATTTAACAAAAAGATTACCTACCTACCAAATGATATGGTGTCAGCCGTATATGGCGGCTTTGTAATCTATCCTAGATATTATAGTTTGTCACTCTCACACTTATTTATTTTGGCTGTACTTTAATAGTTAAAACACCGCAAAAAAGGCGCACACCGCACTTAAACAAACGCAAAGTGGAAACTATAATATGAACGGAAACATATCTTTGTCTTCAAGCAATGTTTTGATGGCGTATCATAACTTCATAACAACGTTTGCTATTCAATCATCCATAAAAATGATAATAGGCTTTACAACGACGACTTAAAATCTAAAATATGTAAGCACATTTTGTTTGAATGTGAAAATTACCGTATACACAGTAATTGAGCGTAAAATGTCTTATCAATTATTAAAATTAAGGCATAATTTTGTATAATGAGCAATAAATATTCGGCCCAAGTTCGACAGTTAACGGTTAAATTCAAACTGCTTATTTGTAAATAGTCAGGTATTATGTAGTAGTAGATAAAGAGTAGTTATTTCTTGCCTGCTGTTCGTAAAAGTTATTTACTGTCGAATTTTAGCCTAAAGTAAGCAATATCGAAACAAAAAACGCATACGTACCAGCACACACGTAATATTGGACCGCAGCCTCTCGCGACAGCTTCGAGTCATCGGGTGGTGGCTGAGGATTCACAGGCGATTTGAGGATCAGCGGCTTCAATCCTCGATGGACTCTGCTTATATGCGCCACGACGGACTGGCTTGCCGCCGCCCGGTAGAAGCAGTGCCCACACACGTAGGGGCACGTCCCATGGCTCTTGAATACGTGCATCACCAAGTCTATGCTGTTTCCCATACAGTCGAAGCTGCAATACGCACATAACATAGCATTTTCGCCGCCTATACGCTGATGCGTCGACGCGTGTTGCAGTGCTGCTTCAACGGAGTCAGTTGAGAAAGAGCAGTAGCGGCCAGCACACTTATACACGTGCATCAGCTTTTCTTTGGACTTCATGGTGTCTAAGACCACCTGCTGCTTCTGCGACATCACTTCGGCTTGCGCTTCCTCGTACTTCAACGGGATCACCGGTTCAGGCTCCGGTTCTGGCTCCGGCTCCGGTTCCGGCTCCGGCTCTGTTGGCAGCTCGTAGCTAGACTGGTCGTCTCCAGTGGGCAACTCCGGCTGAAGGCTCAAGCTGACGATGCTTTCGATCTTCGGCAGAGGTGGCAATTCCTCAGCAGCAATTGGTTCGTCAATGCTTATAAGCTCGGACAGAGGACGAACATTTATCTTAGGCTTAGGGGGTGTGATAACTTCTGGTTCTGGTGCCGGTTCGACCGGAACCGGTTTCTCTAATACCGGGAAGTTGTCAATATGCGCATCGAGGTAGTGCTGAAAGCATTCTCTGAAGTCATGCCGCCCTTGCGGGGTGACGATCACCTTACAAACGAAGCAGTATCCATCCCACAACTCCGAGTGCTTTGTTTGTACGTGCTTTTTCATTGATATCAGCAAAGTGGTTTTATAATGACTTTCGACGCCATTTATGCAGCACACATACTCTTTTAGGCCTGCATCTGTGAAACTTATTTTGAAGTGGGGATACGGGAAAATGTCATCTGAAGAATTAGTTTGAGACGTCTCGATTTCAGCTGCAGCGGGCGCTTCGGGCACGAAGGTTTCTGGAGCAGTCTCCGGAGGATCTTGAGCTTTTTTCGTGTTAGTTAATTGCTCGTTTCGTATATCATCCACAAGATCTTCTCGTTCAACCTTGATAGTGCTCACGCTGTCCGCTCCAGTCGACATGTTGTCGCTAAGATTATCATCGTTTTCAAACGTTATTTTTGACTGTAAAGAGCTTTTAGGCGGTACTTCAATAGACACACGTGATTTTTTACTCTTGCGTTTTATTCTCTTAGCGATCGGTTCGTTCGTGTGATCACTGTCAGTGTCATCTTCACTGCGATCTTCGCTGCGATCTCTGCTGCGATCTAAGCTGCGATCTTCGCTGCGATCATCGCTAGCTTCCAAGCTGTGATTCGAGCGCGAGCTTCTCAGCACTCTCGGCTCGGGATCTGATGATGCAGCTGCACTGTATTTCTTTAAAAGTGCATTTATTGTTTTCTTAGACATAACCGCCAAATTAATGGTGTAAACCTCTGTCTGCTCATCGTTATGTCGAACAATTACATGAGTTTTAAGATTCTCCAATGATATTTGTGTGAAATTACATTTCTCACAAATATACCCTATAAGTTGCCCTTTCACATCTTTGGGAGGAGGCGGAATGTCTAAATTAAACGGGCATCTTGTGACGTTCATACAATCCGAACACAGTTTTTTATACTCTCCAGTGTGCACACTAACTACATGCCAAAAGAAAGATTCCAAAACCCCACCTTTTCTCGACTTGCCAAACTCTTTATAACAGAACCTGCATACGTATTTGTCAGTAGGTATTTTACTGACTGCTTGGAAATTAATATCTTCGCATTGTTCGATCGCTTCTCTGGCTGTTTCTGGGTTCATACGAGAAAGGGGTATTTCCGAATGAGGATGTTCCTCTTTGTAATGGTGCACTATTTCTGTACCAACATATTCGCATAGACGGCATGGATATTCAAACACATCTTTACGGAAACAATACGACTTATCTGTGAAGCAGTTGAGATCAGGTATGGTGACCTTCTTTTGGATTAGTTTGTCGTCGTTTAAGGAAACTTCAGTTTGTTTGGCGTCAGGCTTCTTCCTTTTCGTCTTTTTTATAATGCCAGACTGCCAGCTAAATCGCTTGCGTTTAGGTTTCTTTTTCAGTTCACAAAGTAACTCTGAACTTCCGATGCTTCTAGAGGAAGCTAATGATTCATTCTCTGAATCTGAACTCGAGTCCTCTTTGCCATCATAGGATTTGATACTTGCTTCCTCATTCAAAATATCGCTGACAGAGTCAGATTCAAACGCATAAGGATCATCAGCGTCCTCGTCCTTTCTTTGTTGTTTGGTTTTCGATTTAGGTCCTGGTTTGTACTTTGATGGCTTTACTTTGTTTGGTTTCTTTTCAATTTCTGGAAGAGGTTGTATTTTTGGTTTAGATTTCGGCTTGATTTTCACTTTACTGGCTTTGTCTGTCTGTGTTTCTTCGAATGTCTCTACCTCTTTAGATTTTTCCATGACAACAACTGGTTCAGATTCAGTAGGAGTCTCTTCTTTTTTATCGTCTACCAGTTTCGCTAAACGACACATTCTAATTCCTGTAGCATTCAGTACGTCATCTCTCATAAACATCTCTTTTATATCTTCTTGCAATTTTATTAATTCATTAGATCGCTTTTTCTTGGTTGGACCTTTGGAAGATCTTGTAACTCTCTTCGCTTTAGACACAATATTCTTAGCAGGCTTCGACTTTGCATTTCTTTTCTTTCCTTTTTTAATTGGCCCTTTTTTGACTGTCAAAGTAGGTTCAGTTATTTCTTCTTCTTCATTTTCATCTTCTAAGGTTGTATCTGTTTTTTCAGTTTCAACTATTTTTTCGCTTTCAGTAGTTTTATTTGTTTTCTCTTCATCATCAGCCAAATTTTTTGAGGTTTTTTTAGCAGTTTTCTTTGGGCTCATGGTTCCTTTAAGCTCATTTTTTAGGTTATCTTCATGGTCAATTTCTTCTTTTGAGTCATCCTTCAAACTATCCTCTTTTTGCTTAATACTCGAGTCATCTTCTGTTTGTTTATCACTAGATTCATCACCTGTTAACTTTTTTCCAGAATCATCGTTAATGAGATCCTCTTCGTTTGTAAGCTTTGCCTCTTTTTCACTGACAACAGATGCTGTTTCCTCGTTATCGTGTTTTTTAATAGCTTCAGAGTCATCGTTGACATCTCTCGAATCATCATCTTCATCAGAAACTATCTCACTCAGTTTTTCTAGTTTCTTTTTAATCTTATCATTGTCAGAAGACTGCTCGCCTAGCATATTCAGCAACTCCTTAATTTTCGATTTGTTTTGCAAAAGAGACAGTATATTTCCTATTGAATCCAATGCCGGTGTTGTTTCTTTGTTAGAAGAGGTTGGTTCAGAGTTATCGTGTGTTGATGACACAATAGAGCTGTGTTCATTCTGAACTTCATTGGTACTGTCGGGGATGCTCTCTGGTTGACTTAATGATTTTTCCTGAGCCAATTCATTAGTGTTTATGGTACTGTCAGGTGTAGAACTTCTATTCTGTTCTATATTCGTGGCTTCCATCTTATCAGTTGGTTCTACGGTATCATTTCCACTTGTGGTAACCAAGTCATCGCAACTTTGCGGTTTTTTATTTGAATCTTGAGCAGATACCAATGACTCATCTTTCAAATCATCGGTCTTCAGTTGTGGAGACTCTTTAAGCTCAGCAACTGCTTCTTTTACTGTTTCATCAAGCTTCATTACATTTACATTAGTTGTTGACGTGTTTAATGTAATCTCTTGACTATCTTGCGATAACTTTAGTTGGTCAAAGTTTTTAGACTGATTTAAATCATCTTTGATAACCTCAGAAATTATATTCAGAGACTCTTCCTCGTTTAACGACTTTGTGTCCTCTTTCCCTTGACTTGTTATACTTTCCAACATGGTTTCAAGAGAAATGTCTTCAGAAAAATCAGTTGGTGTTACCATTTTATTGGGCCCCAAGTCGTTGTCCAAATCTGCTATAAGAGCATTTATATTATCCATAACTGGGTCTGAGACAATGTTATCGGAGAACATTTCCAAATCATCAATGCCAAAACTGGAGTCCAAATCGCCAGTGTTGGAATCGTCATTTGTGACAACGGTTCTTTCTTCATTGAGTTTTTTGGTCTCAGTTTTAGTATCACTTTTAACATTCAAGGTTTCTGTATTGGTCTTATTTAACTTCTCGTTTAATGTTTCTTCGTCAGAGTCTGTATCATAGATAACCGCTTTTTTAGCTCTAGATTTGTTATTTGGTTGCGATTTTTCGATTTTTCTACTGGATCTAGTAATTCGTTTTAACTCTACATTGTCATCTTTTTCCAAATCACTTTCCTGGATATCGGCATTTTTTTTGGTTTCTGCTTTATTCTCTACTCTTTGTTTTTTATTCACTTTTACCACTTTATCATTAGCACTTACATTTTTTGGTTTCTCTTGTATTGGCACTGATTTTTCTACGCTTCTTTTTGTCGGGACTTCTTTTTTCTGCGTCCTCATGTATAGTTCAATTAAGCTATTTTTACTTTCCTCGCCTTTGCCTTGAACGTTCTTTTTCATTGCCTCCAATTTAGGGTCACTTGATTTCTTTTCAGGTTCAATTTTATCAGTTTTTATTACTTCAGGCTCAGGTCGTTTAATTTTTGGAATTTTGTAGTTTTTAACACCATATCCTGAACCCAAAATAGTACCTTTACTTATGTTGTCATTTGAGTATACTATGCCAGAATTTCTCCGATTGTAATCATTTTTACTGTCTTTACTTTTAAAATCATTAAAATCTCTACGTAACCTGGGATCTCGATTGTTTTTCCTGGGCGAATAGGGTTTTTTCGTACTATTCTCTGGCCCTTTCTTTACTTTACTTTCATGTAAATCAATTCGGCTTTGCCTTTTATTTGAAGTCTCTGCTTGTCGCTTACCTATTGCAGCAACACTAGTTTTCGCTACTTTGGTTTCTCTAGCATCACATTGAGATTTAAATAAATGAAATTCCGCTTTTATATCTTTAAAACTTTTTTCTGCTTTTGAACTTACTAAATCTCGACCAACGCTGCAAGCACGCCTAAAGTTGTTTCTTTTCGTGTCTTCATAGGTCTCATTATGTTCGTTTCGCTTTTGAGACACTGTCCTTCCGACACTAGGCTCGCGGCACAAAGATCGTCCGACACTCGATGCTCGTTGTTTACGGCTATCGAACGAATAATCGAATACTTGCATTTTTCGCCCGGTGTCTAGGAAATCTTGGAATGTTGTTGTGACACTAGTATCAATAGTAAACGATCTTCCAACGTGGGGCTTGACGGATAGTCTGTTTTCCTCATCGTCCTGTGAAAAACTTCTACCTACACTGGTAGCTCTATGAGGAGGGTGCTGTCTTTCATCAGGTGTTGATCTTCCAATACTGCGTTCGCGGTAAAACCCTTTTCTTACCCCGTATTCACTATTCCCTCTGGAATTGTCGCAATCGTTACGGTAATCGTTACCCTTACGCCCGTAGCTGCGCTCTCGCGAGTAAAACCGATCCTCTTCGTTATCTCTTCCCGCCACGCGACCGACACTGGGCTCGCGCCGAGATCTATTTTCTCTATTAAATTGACGATGGTCCGAATCACGAGGCGAGTATTTACTATATCTGTCATCTCGACCAACACTTTGTTCTCTGTGTGATCTGTAAGAATCGGACCCACCGTACCTATCGTTGTGAGAAGAGTAATTCGACGAATTACGATCTTTGTAGTAACTATTGCGATCCCTATCGTTCTTCTGATAACCATCAAAATCATTACTTCTATTTAGCCTTGGATCCCTGACAGTATTATCTGATCTGCCAAACGGGTGACTTGGTGTCATTGGCATTTCGCCACGTCCGAATGGATGACTAGGCGTAGTAGGACACTCTGATCTGCCGAAAGGATGACTCGGCGTCGTGGGAGCATCTGATCTCCCGAAGGAATGGCTTGGCGTTGGAGGGCACTCTGTTCGACCGAACTGATAACTGGGTGTTGAGGGACAATCTGATCTGCCAAAAGATGGCAAAGGCGTCATTGGAGCCTCAAGTCGACCGAATGGATGCGTCGGAGTGAGAGGACAATCTGACCGACCGAAGGGATGAACGGGGGTTGTGGGACATTCCAATCTATTCAAAGAATCTCTTCTATCAATATTGTATCCTGAAGTTTTCTGAAACTTGTTGTAATTGTTATATTTGTTGTCATTAAATCGCGACTTCTGATAATCGGGAGCATCTCTCTGTGCAGATGTTGACCTAGAATCGTGTTCTTCCCATTTTCGCGTCGTGTTGACGTCTTTAGCAGGGTTCCACCTGGATTTTCTATTTTCTACTTCAGGTTTGTAATTAGGTCTTATTTCTTTAGCAACTGAACTTTCATTTTCTCGTTGATCAAACGGCATAAACATCGGGGCATAAACATGTTTCTGAGCCGCATTTTCCTCGTTTTGAATGGCAGGTATATCATAAGTTCGTGCATTTGGAGTCATGATTGGTGTCATGGAGGGCGTCATACTAGGGTTTACACTAGGAGTCAATGGGGCTCTACTAGGGGTCATATTAGGGAAATAGTTAAGTACAGGTGGCACACATCTTATATCGGGACTCATCATGTGAGGAAAGGGAGAACCGATTGGTGTAGCCATGAGTGGTTGAATAGGAAATGAGGAAGATTCTACGTTTGCAGATTGGTTGAAATCTTTTCTCAATCGAGGATCTAAAGGCTTTTTCGTTTTCTCTTCATTCTTAGTTTTGTTTTCAATACTGACATCTTTGTTTGGTATTGGGCTAGGAAATTGAGGAAGTAATACTTGTGGCATTAATGTTCTCATATCAACGTCGCCTGTAGCAGTCGCGGCTGCGGGTTGAAGGGACTCTGCAGGTATTATAACTGGTGGTTTAGTTGCATTCGTAGCATTGCCGTCATTTTTATTATCAGGCGATTGCGGAGCGATGTCATCATAAATATTATCTAAAGAAACTTTGTCCTGACTATCTTCATCATCAGATACGCCATCTTCATCTAACGCTAGCTTAGTAGGGAAATTGAATCGTTCACATTCCTTCATTGTCAATTTAAGACTTTGTTTCTTGGCTAAATCTTCTTTTGAACTTTGTGATGAGTCTTTTATAAAAAGCGGAGTGGTGGCTTTTGCCGGTGTTGTGGCCTTTTCTTTATATTTCTCAAAAGAAATTCGTTTTTTCGGTGCGATTTCTTGGGCACTAGCAACTTTTGTAAGTTTTGGTTGATGTAATAGTGGCGTCACGGTTTCTGATCCAGGAATCGATAGAGATTCACTTAGTATTTCATTCTTTAGAGCTTGCAATATATCTATTTCTGATACAGCAGGTTTATCATCCGAAACTGGACGTTCATTTAGTAAAGGTATTTCAACCTGACTTTTTGTTTCCTTAGAGTCATTTGGACTCGAGGAGTTCACAGATTTATCGTTTGAAGTTTTTGCTGCTTTTTCAGAAGTACTTGACTTTTCAGCATCAGTAGTCGCCGAGGCATCCTTCTCGATTTTATCATTAGATGAAGACTCTAATGGCTTGTAAAAGTTAGCTGGCTTAACAACATTATCCTTTTCTTGTGTATCAGACACGTTTTTATTTATATCGGCATTAGTGGCACTATTCTCAGTTTCGTCTTTACTCATATCTAATTGGTTCTCCATATTGCTAAGATTAGCTTTCGCCTCGGCGCTTTTTTGATCATACATTTGAAAATCAGATGGATCTGTCTCATTTAAATCCTTGGGCCCTTTCTCGTCGGCTTTGGATGACTCACTGGCATTTACATCTTTATCAGAATTGAGTAAAAGACATATCTGTATCTTCCTCTTATCATCAGAGGTTTTAGCTTTGCTTGATGAACTTTGCTTACCCTTATTATCAAGTAAAACATCTCCATAAATGCTTTCAATGGCTTCACTTTCGCTGTCAGACAGCTCCCCTTCCTCAACGTCATCTTTTTTCTTTTTAGAATTTTTATTCTTCTTACTGTCTTTATAAGACTTAAGTAATAAATCGGATATGTCATCACAATTCGCACCAGTCTGATTTAACTCACTCAGTATCTGTCTTTTTGCTTCTCTTAAAGTTTCAATGTCCACGTCATTATCGTTACACTTCATGATACGTGTAAGTATATCTTTAGTGTTTAATGAATCCAAAGTTTCTTGTGGCACGTTCAATGTGATGTTCAGACCTTTGGACTTCTGACTCTTTGATTTTTTTCTTTCTTTTTTGTGGTAAGCAGGCGATACTCTTTTGGGGGACCGTCGAGGTGACCTACGGCTGAATAAGGGCTTATCCGGGTTTGGGTTGGGTTCATCCCATTTGCTTCGTGGTTCTGGAGACACCAAAACACGAGTGTAGTTACGTTTAGACGTAGACTTCGGACTGATTGAGGCTTTACGTGTAGGGGATGCGGATTTCTTTAAATTTGGTCTCCTTTGGAATAGCGCTGGTTCTTTACTGCCTGGCGTGCAAATTTCCTCGATTTCACTAGCTCTAGCTATTTCAGGCAAAGTGTCTTTATTATCAACCAGATCTTTCGAAATAGAGTTAAGTTTGTTCCTTGCAGAATCTAAAGCTTTTTCGTCTTTCTGTTTGGAATTACTTGAGTATGCCGGACCTGATGCAGATTTTTCTGGTATAGCATCTTTCTGTAACAAAAAAGAGATTTTATGTGAATAGCATTTAGTGGGTGGATAAAAAAAAACATTTTTGATTTTAACTATAGCTTTGTAACCAGTAGTGAATAAAATAGAGTTGTTAGCGCAAAATATTATAATTTGTAGGCATTTGAACACACTTACCTGTTCTACCTTAGCGTACAAATTGACCAGCACTTGTTCGCATTTGTTTAAGTTCTCCATTTTCATTCTAGAAGAAAACAATCTTGTTAATTCATCTATTTTTAAGAAACATTATAGGTACCTACATTTTTTTAAAAAATAAATTATTTGGTTTTGGTGTATTTTAATGATTCTAGCTAATTAAAACAAACAATTAAGTTAGCCACATTAAAAAAATGAGGCTTGAAGGGTTAAATAACGTGGATTTCTATTAAAACAGGCAGTTTACCCGAACTAAATCTCATACAGTTTCATGTGTAAGAGATTTGAAATATTTTTTACTAATAACTTCTATGCAATAAAGCAAATACAAAATAAAGTTGCATAATGTCTACGCTGGTTTACCAACTGAAACAGACTACAAGCATGCAACGTCACAATCACGTAATGAATCAGATACCCTGTAAAATCACTAAACCTTTTCTTCTCATCCTGCAGGAGGTCCCTCAGGGACTTGATCTTATCCAGCTGCGCCTGCCGAGGGTTGACGCTTCCACTCCTGTTGCTCTCCAGCCTTTTGATCATGCTCTCCAGGAATGGAATGTACTTCTTCATCTCCTCAAACTTCCGATCGTAATCCGACTCCATTTTGGCGGCTAGAATCAACGATATTATGGACATAAGACAATGTATTAGGCAGTGATAGGGTTACAATTTAACTGGGAAGTTCTAAAGCGACTTTTTTAAAAGCCTAATTGCAAAAAATAAAGACGCATTCTATGAATAGATGAAGGATAGATATTTCAGTCTTATAAATAGGCAAAACAAATAGAAATAGTCAAAATTATATTAGTTACACTCGTAGTTGTATAAAGTAACAGATTTCATTTTACTAAATTGAATTAGAAATTTCTAGTGTGCATGGTGCACTAACTCTCCGTTTAAGCCGGGTTTCCAGAGCGTGTTTTACCCTAAACAATAAAAAAACATGTCAACATTCAACAAAATTGCCTATAAAAATGTTGAAATATTGACATGTTTTTGTTATTTTGTGTAGGGCACAACACGCGCTGAAGACCACAGATTATAGATACACACTAGAGATGGCATTAATCGGTAACGCGAATCTAATCGGTAGATTAAAGTTAAACAGTTACTGAAACCGATTCAATTCATAAAGTTCATTCGTCACCGATAGATACAACACTAATCGCAAACGCAACTGACGCAGTCTATCATATTTTCATCTAGCGATATAAATAGAACTAGGTACCTAATTACCTTTTAACACCGTTTTAACGAATTAATTAATGTATATCTTACTGCTTTTACAGCATTTTGATAAAATAAGATATAAGTATTGTAATATCTTTGATACCAAATAAATATCTTTTCTTTCTTTCTTACTTTAAAATAGAACCTTAAAACGAGATACAAAAGCGAAAGATATAGGTATGTTCGTATCATAGTTTCAGCAATGTAGGTCAGAATGCTTATGTTTTATACATCAGAATTCTATGTTTACTAATTTGCATAAATCTTTTAGGAATGCATACATTCGTCGATCGTCGCGTATGCGAATTTAACTTCAAAATATAGGTATGTCGCTAGCTCGCACTACTGCTGTACCTAAACATTTTGAGGCAATCTCTTTTTAAAAAACAAGTAACTTTTTCCAACAAATCGTTCCAATTAATCCCTATGTAGACAGAGGACTTTTACAGCTCAACCGCCATTAACAACAAGTCCCGAGGGTTAAAACTGAGAAATAATAGAAAGATCACGTCCGCTCCCCTAGTATTATTACACTAGATGCGCGTGCGCCGGTTTTTTATGGAACACAAAGACACATTGAGTATTTATTACCCTAATTTGAGATCATCCTTTTCTTGCGCAATTTTCGTTGCCTTTTTTATAAAACAGTGATTTTTTTATTGTTTTTATTTATTTTACTTCTCCGTAAATACCGATATTGCGATAATGAAGCAAGCTTCAAGTTACTCCTGATATTGAGATCATGAATTCACGATTTTAGCATATCAAATTAAAATACACCAAGCCGCGTGAGAATAATTATATTATTAATTAACTTAAGGTAGGCGGCAGGCACTAACTTATGGATCAAATTAATAGACAAAAGGCTGGCGCATTTATTTTAATAAATATTTAGACGATTATGGCATTCTTCTGAATGCTAATGCTATAAACCGGCATCATGAATAAAACAATAGCCTAAACATATTAACGTTCAGAAAATGTTTGATAGATAGGTATAGGGTTAACTCAGGTAATAATTTTAAACGTGGTATTTTTAAAGACATCAATCAACCGCTAAGGGGTTGGACGCTAAAGATGTGTCGTTATGGGTTTTTGAAATAACGAAACGCGACGGTTTTCGAATCACGAATAACGTTTTCAAAACTAGTTTTTTTTTAAACGAAGTTATTTCCACAACGCTCAAGCAAGAGTGATAATAATAACGTTAGGTGTTTGGTTAGCTGCAAGGCCTTTAGGAACTTATGACCTTCAAAATAAGACTCAAATTCCATTGAATATCTAACGTACGCCGAAGATTATACCTATTTCATCCACACTTATGTTAACGTCCTATGGCTTTCTCACTCGCTCACGCACTCGATTCGTTGCGATCCTTATTATTTGGACACCATACATTACTCGCTTCACTCCTTTAGGTTACAAAAAATATGTTTAAGAATCGTCAATGCACGACGTTGTCCTCAAAACTGTCATAACGAAGCGGGAAACACGTTATTTTTTGTGTCAACCAAACATCTACCTTATGTTGTTTGCTTAAGAGTGAATTCAGTTTACCTTTAGAGCGTTGTGGAAGCAATCGTGTTGAATAACGAAGAGATTCTAACGTTGTATGACGTTAAGAAAAAAACTAGTTTAGGCGTTTTTGGATAACGAGTGATCACTGGTCAGGCTAATCACTCGTTTAATAACCAGTGATAACGAATAACGCCCATCGCTATTGGACGCCTTATCGGAAAAGCAAATGGAGTGATACGATTGTTAACGCTCTTAACAAAAAATGTATTAAAAAATAAGACAGCAGATTAAAGAAACATCGGAATAAATCTCCCAGAAGAAAACAAAATCAACGCAACGTGTGAGTATCGTAAAACAATACCCATCCCTGTAAAGTTCAACAGATAGGGATAACCGCATGTTTTACAGATCATAGGAACCGGTTTTACTAATTGTACAACCGGTTCGCAACTGTAATGCCATTGCCAACCAATGACAACGCCACGTTCAAATGTAGGTAGCGCTAGTTTAGTAGCAGTCGCGTTGCTATTGTTGCCGGTTGCCAAGACCGGTATTACCCCGCCGATTTTTGCCTAAGATAGGAATGGAAATAATAAATATCCTTGGACATTTTACACTGCGCGATCTAGTCCCAAGCTAAGCAAAGCTTGTACTATGGGTACCAGACAACGGATATAATACTGCATCATAACAGCTTAATCCTAACGTATTGGAGGTCGAGAGGTTCCGCGATAAGGTATTGCTTTAGCAATGTTGAAACGGTAGGTATGTACTAACTTCAGAGCATGGTTCTACTTTTACAACACTTAATTCTTCTCGAATTCGAGCCGCCTCGAAGATTTTATACATAGATGTGAAGAAACAATTGTAAAGTATTACTATTCCGTTTACGATCCAAAAATTCCAAAGTCTCACTGCTGGAATGCAAAGGATCTGACATTTCTGGACAAACTTTTATATCATCACGCGTATTGATGCATTAAGGATCGTCCCCACGGCAATCCAGTTTTTCGGATCCCGCAAAACTGGACTGGAATTCGAACGGGACGGTTTTTTGCGGACCCCTGCAAACGGGATATTCGTGTGAACGTTAAGATTAAAACACTTTTACTAATAAACGGGATGCTGTAAAATAAAACTGGATAACTTTGTGGGAACAAGCCCTTCGAGTTTTTTCTTAAGAGCTCGTAGGAATTAATAGCGAACGAACAGTTTGTAAAGTTAGTAACAGTTTACCAACACACGCTCATCCACAATGGCAGAGATAATGTTAGTCGAATCAGTGTAAGTTCTACTCCATATGCTCAACTGCTGTTATTTCCCGATGAACAGTAATCACAGGTAAATAATCCAGTTCTAAAACCATGTAATACTTACACGTACAACGTACGCTAAAATAACGTAAAGTTCTCTTAATTCCGATATATCACTGTCCAAGCATAAGTATCGATTCACCAAATAATCTCTTGATTTTACTTCCAACGACACGAGAGTATTTTTATAATAATCTGAACAGAAATAATAATCTTTCAAAAAATCCAAAATCGAAACGTGAACGCGATGGCTACACTTAACCGCTAGCGCCGCGCTCTCTTGAATAAAAATATTTAAAAAAGAAATAAATGAAAAATATACTTACTAAACTATAACACATTTTAAAGACTGTAATCATACCTAAAATATTAAGTCGTCAAAGTTCAAACCAAATAACTTCAAAAAATAAAATCGATTAATAATGCACCAATTATCGATTCCTAAAATGCAAATCGGACAACTCTAGCGGTCTCATTTCGTTCGTAAAACATCTGACTGCTACATAACTGGGAGTGAAAATGTAATGTGGTTTAGATTTCGCGTTTTCATCTGTCATCATCACCGTGTTATTTACACTAGCACAAAAAACGGCCGTGATTGCGCACTTTTACAGCAACCGGTTCTTCCTTTAGTATCAGAAACCGGAATAGAATAATCGATATCGAAGCTTTCACAGCACTAATAACACCATGTAGTCACTGATCTATAAACAGATCGTTATAGGTATTTTGTTATAGATCAACAATAATACTTATGTTAATTATGTAGTATTATCGTAAATAGGTAAATAAACAAAATGCCTGTCAAGTACTTTAGTGCAGTTCTTTTTCCCCAGCGATAATCCATTCATCGGTAGGTANAATTTAAAGACACAGAACCAGTACTTTTTAGGAATCGTTTTTTTGAACATGAACCATGAAATTTGAATATTATCAATAAAAAATTGTTACAATAATATTTGTAATTGTAAAAAAAACATGTTTTTTGTTAAATAACACCTATACAAAATATTTCTCTAAAAGTAGGTTTTACTAACTCTTCGAAAAAAATCGATAGATAAATCGCTATGGTTTAGTTATGTGACATCTCTAAATCTTTCAAACTCGAAACGTCATACGGATCATCTTAGGTGAAAAAGACTATAGACAACGGATATTATAATACTGCATCATAACAGCCTATCCTAAAGTATTGGAGGTCAAGAGGTTCTGCGATAAGGTATTGCTTTAGCAATGTTTAAACGGTAGGTATGTACTACCTTCAGAGTATGGTTCTACTTTTACAACACTTAATTCTTCTCGAATTCGAGCCGCCTCGAAGATTTTATAGATGTGAAGAAACAATTGTAAACTATTACTATTCCGTTTACGATCCAAAAATTCAAAAGTTTCACTGCTGGAATGCAAAGGATCTGACATTTCTGGACAAACTTTTATATCATCACGCGTATTGATGCATTAAGGATCGTCCCCACGGCAATCCAGTTTTTCAGATCCCGCAAAACTGGACTGGAATTCGAACGGGACGGTTTTTTGCGGACCCCTGCAAACGGGATATTCGTGTGAACGTTAAGATTAAAACACTTTTACTAATAAACGGGATGCTGTAAAATAAAACTGGATAACTTTGTGGGAACAAACCGTTAGAGTTTTTTCTTAAGAGCTCGTAGGAATTAATAGCGAACGAACAGTTTGTAAAGTTAGTAACAGTTTACCAACACACGCTCATCCACAATGGCATAGATAATGTTAGTCGAATCAGTGTAAGTTCTACTCCATGTGCTCGACTGCATTTCCCGATGAACAGATAATCACAGGTAATAATCCAGTTCCAAAACCATGTAATACACGTACAACGTACGCTAAAATAACGTAAAGTTCTCTTAATTCCGATTATCACTGTCCAAGCATAAGTATCGATTCACCAAATAATCTCTTGATTTTACTTCCAACAACACGAGAGTATTTTTATAATAATCGGAACAGAAATAATAATCTTTCAAAAAATCCAAAATCGAAACGTGTACGCGATGGCCACACATAACCGCTAGCGCCGCGCTTAATGAACCTCTGAATGAAGGTATTTAAAAAAGAAATAATGAAAAATATACTAAACTATAACACGTTTAAAGACTGAATAACCATACCTAAAATATTAAAAGTCGTCGAAAGTTCAAACCAAATAACTTCAAAAAACTAAAATCGATTAATAATGCGCCATTATCGATTCTTAAAATGCAAATCGAACATCTCTAGCGGTCTCATTTCGTTCGTAAAACATCCGACTGCTACTTAACTGGGAGTGAAAATGTAATGTGGTGGTTTAGATTTCGCGTATTCATCTGTCATCATCACCGTGTTATTTACACTAGCACAAAAAACGGCCATGATTGCGCACTTTTACAGCAACCGGTTCTTCCTTTAGTATCAGAAACCGGAATAGAATAATCGATATCGAAGCTTTCACAGCACTAATAACACCATGTAGTCACTGATCTATAAACAGATCGTTATAGGTATTTTGTTATAGATCAACAATAATACTTATGTTAATTAATTATGTAGTATTATCGTAAATAGGTAAATAAACAAAATGCCTGTCAAGTACCTACCTACTTTCGTGCAGTTCTTTTTCCCCAGCGATAATGCATTCATCGGTAGGTACATCACTAGTAACAAATAACCGTATTTATATAATTCACTTAACACTCATTCGAACCGAAACCGGTTTTTTTTCCTACGATAAAAAACCGTATCGCGCAAATATCGAACATCACTAGTTAAGAATAACCGAACTCAAACAAAACCGTACGTCCAGCCAGCTCCTCTCCAAAAATTTAATTGTTAGTTTAGTTACACCGAGTAGGTAACCTAAAATTATTTTTTTAATCCTGGGTAGGTAGTAGGTAGGTAGGTCAAATTAATAATACTTATAACCTAACTATCAACAAGCAATAGATGCAAGATGCAAAGCCATATTTTATACAAGGATGCTTTAAAATACACTATTTTGTGGTGCCTCATGGTATTTTTTAATGCATAAACAATATTGTATCTTACCGACTACGCTTTTCTATCGCCAACCGATCACAATAAATCACAGTAGGTTATAAATGGCTACTTAACATATTATTTGTATTTTTGTAGAAAAGTTTAAAAAACAACAAGCACTTCGATATAATCTAACCAACGTAGATATTACAATTAAAATTTTGTTCTAAACGTGACTGCGCTCTCTCGGTGTCGTTGTGGCGGTGACTGCATGCGAGCAATTTGTTCGACAGGCGACTATGCGAGTGTGAGTGAGTGAGAAGAAAAGCGGGGNAAGCTGGGCGCGGGCGAGCGACGCTACCGCTAACTAACAACAAAATGGCGGTCGGCCGTCCTACACAGTAAAATTAATTGTCTACCAATTTACCAAACCTACAATAGTAGCACAACACTAAAAAAAACATTTTTTTAATATTATTTGCATGATAAATTAATTTACTAAACAATTCAAAAATATTTTCGACAAAGTAATCTTGAAAGGCACGTATTTGATGCATGTTCGTTCACTTCCGTTTTCGTTTATTGACAGCCACAGCCGGATTTGCACCCGCCATTTTTTTTTGTAAAATAATACTTAAAATTATCTTTTTGTTTGTTTCACTATTATTTATTGTGATACGGACGGTATTGTCGCCCTATATTTTATTATTGTAATAATGACTACGTACTCGTATGGAAATAAGCAGCATCTAATAACTAACATACCTTGAGCATCATTTTAATGATAGACGGCCGTAAGCAAGACAATCTTCATATCCGCTTGAGCAGCTATCAATAAAATTAAAGTAAAAGTTATTAATTATCAGGTGAAATCTCTAAATTCCACCTAAATAACATTAGCAAGGTAAGTAAGACATAATAATCTGAAAATATAATCCCATACGTAGGTAAAAACGTACAATATTTTGTGTACCTAAGCGTGATGGTAGTTGGTATGCTGACGTCTGTGATATGTATTAGGCTTAGTATTAGGTAATGCAATACCATTGCAACAGGTACATCATTATGTATCTCTCATTAGATCTTCACGAAACTTGATTGTAAATTGTCACTTTCTATAGCTCGGTTCATGTTTGAAATAGGTTTCGCACACAACGAATCGCGACTCGCGTTCATTACGCAGCAATCACTAAACGCTTATAACACGAGCCATCTTTCGCCGAACCGACGCCATTGCATGGCATTAAAATCTATCGCTGAAATTCCCAATGTACAGAAATGTTTCACTAACCTTTTGCTATTCTACAATCGGTAACGAAATAATATTAATCGAATGAACACACGGCGTTGTAACTGTCGCACATTCTGCTATGGGCCAGCAATGTTCTTTGTTATAATTATTATTCCTGGGTCTCGTTTCTCTTACACCTCTCAGGAGCGGGCGACGACTGTCGGCTGCAAGTTAGCTATGCTATACGCTCGGAAACAAGGACGGAGACCGACGCCCCACCGCGCGGGGACCCCTCTTCCAGTCTGTACGCCTCAAAAATCATTCGGCCGTCGGGCTTCGCTGTCCCCGGTCGGTGTTCACGCGGTTACGTTCTCGCTATATTATCCACTCGCAACTGCTCACGTCTTCAAAATGGAGCGATAGCTTTTGAGCGACAAGCACATTCGAATTTGATGTTCTAGAGCACAATCGCGTGTTTTTTTGTGTGTCTTTTGTTGGGTGGATTCTTTTCGGCCAGAAGCAAAACTGCACTGTTGACGTAATCAACCAATGACAAATAGGTCACTCGCTTGCCAGGAAGTGTCACTTTATCAAAGCATTCGTGTGAAAAGTAGAATTTTAATTTCATATTGTGTGAATCCTGTGGTTCTTTTATCGTTTATCAGCTTCCCCTTTTGGGTTTTCAATGTATTGCTTGTAGGTGTGGTACAAGTATCGGGAAACTGGCGTTGAATCTAATAAGTGAAAGGTGACGATTTCTTGTTAAAAACTCGGTTACATTAATGTGATCTTTATTTATTAAAGGTATTCGAATAAGTACACTGTTTAGTAGTAGCTTTATCTGCAAACATTAAAATGTATTCAGTCCGCTAAAGACTATCATGCGCGCCCGGTACAAATCAGTTTATCTAACCCAATGATATTATATAAAAACAAAAGCAGATATGTTATAAGCGCTCGCGCTGTGAATACTCAAATACGTCCCAATTGGGACGTCTTGTGTTTAGTCTTCGTGTGGCCTGCGTCGTGCGCAATCGCGTGTACCACACCGTAAGTTCCTGTGTTCTTACCAAAATAAATAAAAAATGCCATCGTGTGTGTTTCGAAAGTGTACCAATTATGACTCTAAAGTAAACAAAATACAAGGGATCTCTTACCACATGTGATTATGCAAAATTATTTAGTATTTATATTTTCAATTATTTATGCAAACAATCAAGACGCCATCGCGCCATGCGCCATGTTCAAGTTAAGAAAGAGAAAGCGATCTTGTTTTGACGTTAGAGCGATAAGGATGCGTGCGCTGCGGACATAGATTAGTTAGTGCAGAATCGTTAAAACTATAGCTATCTCTTTCATTTGCGTGCTATTTCGTATCTTTTGTTTCACTTATCAGTTACATTTGTCAATGTGTGCAATTTGGAATAGCTCGGCACGGATTAAAATCGTAATTTGTATGAACGTAACATATCTATAGTTCTGTAATATCATTGATCTAACCTATATTTTTCATACGTTGATAGATCACAAATCCCGCCATTAAAATTAAAAACTAGGTGGTCTAGCTACTCGTTACAAAAACTGAATGACTCACTAGGTATCAGTATCGCAAAGGATTTGTTGTTTATTGTGGTCCTGCTAACCTTTTACATTATTTATAAGTTACTACCTTGTAAACTTCCTCAGAGGTCAACGTACCTAGTTAGTAGGTATGCGATGCTGAATTTCATCAAAACCAGATTTTTTAAGTGGAGTAAACGAGTCAAAAAGTGTTACCATTCCTATGATGGACAACTAACCATATGAAGAAGCTTGAATATCATAAGAACTTGAAACGCGAAAAGTTCAGGGAATTTCATTCTTAACAGATTTTCGTAGTTAATTCCATGTCCTGACTTCAGCATCCCTGAAAAAATGTGAGGAGCAGAAAATGTGTGGTCGTCATAAACTGAGGAATTCCCTAAATTTCGCCCATTTGCTTGGCAATCCCACCTTGGTCGGTATGACTCTTTTCAACTCATTTTAGTTTGTTCGGAACATCGGAGTCATACATATCCACTCCTGGATAAGTAAGTAGTCGTACATTTCGAAGATGGATACTATCTGTTGTTTTACAGGATCTTGAAGAACACCAAGTAGAGAAAAGTAGTTTTATTGCAGACTGCTGTTTCTAATGCGGTTCTAGTTTAAAAGGTGATATTTTTGAGTAGGCTCTCAGGCCCGATTCTGTATTTCAGACTAGAATTGATGAAATAAGTTTTTGAACTTAGATATCGCAAATTTTGTCTTACCTTACCTATTATAGTTTTTTCATCTAGGTACCTCTACCTATGCACCTATTTCAGGCCTTATGTGGGAATTTTGTCTATAACAGGAATGACTTGTGATTGTGACCGTAAGTATGATAGATCGTCCTGGATTTTCAAATTTTCCGACAGTCCCTACTATCATTGCAGCAGTAAATTATCCCTCTCTACTAGTTCTTGGCTTATCTTACGCAATGGATTTATTCAATTCTTACATGCCCTACATATTGTACAAATAAAAATATAAAAGCAGTCTGATGTTACAAATAACCAGCAGAGATTGGCTCACAGCGTCAAGTTTAACTTGTATCTACATAAGTTAACTTACGCCAAATGTAAGATTTTTCCGAACGACTTAAAAATCTCCCTTTTCAACATTAGCACCACTATCTAGTACGCTTCTATTTCATAAATTGTTCGAGAATTAGAATGCATAGAAACGTAGTTCCTACCTCTTACTACAACTACAACTCAACATAGTTATTTATTAAGTTACAAAGCAGACAAGTATGTAGGCGTAACCTTTGATAACGCATACCTATGCTGTAGATAGTATAGTGATCGTATCGTGATAGTATCGTATCTCTTCTACTCGGTTCGCGTTGCGCGTCATGATTCTACCACACACTGTGAAGTTAGGGCTATGTTATTTTGGTCGATCGATTGTGTTTCCAATGCCGAGCTCTGCGCATGCTCTGAGTACAAGGAAAATCGTACTAGGTACCTATATGAGTTACCGCTTATCCGACTACAAACCAGTCGGTCTCGGAGCACCGTTATGCGAGGCTGCCGCACCGTAGACTGAAAATTTTTCGTAAACAACTGAAAAGTAAAGATCGTAGAACAACTTTGATAATACAATGATAATACAAATAGTGCGAAGGACACGAAGTACGGAACTAATTTACAGAAAACTAGTGTGCTCAAGAACTCAAGATAAGTGAACAGACTTCCCGCTAATTTTGTATTAACATAGTAAAAAATTAAAAGCTTGTATCTTAAAATTAAGTTGAAAATAAAGCTATTTAAACAATAATTGCATGTTTCTGTTATTTAACAAAAATTTTAAGGGCGATTTAATCAAACTAATAACTTTAACAATTATTTTACTGACATTTATGTAATGTGTTAAAAAGTTTACCAAATGCGCTGGTTTATTCAAGTTTCCTCAATTACATAAATACACATCGTTAATATTGTTAGATCAATAGCGCCACCACAGGTGTAACGTGGTGCTTCTATGTTGCCTCAAGCCCTCAACCCATCACTTATGCCTTTTACCAACTTAATATTATTCTGTGGCCTTACTACGACGTATGTTTACATTAATTATTGGTAAACAACTTGCAAGATTTATCTTTAAAGAGCCAAATTAGTGAATAACGACTGTCGATGAAAAAAAGCCGTGCTTAAACTTAGAAATACTTTATTCTTTTTGAACGCATTTTACAGAAAAAGATTTGTGCTAAATAAAAACTTCCCGCGTGAAAACTACAAATCATGTTAGGTGCCCTAAGCCCTAGTTGTGGCCCGCCGCCGTATTTCGAGTCGAAATTGGTCAAAACACCTTGACTTTCTACTAACTTGTAGGTACCCACTGCATTTCCCCCCACCTCGTCCGAATCAATATCACAAGCACGTCAGGGTTTTTTATCAAGTTGACTCGTTTGGCATCTTTTAGGTCAGTAGCGCCATCTAGTGATGAATCATACTACTTTTAAGTTTACTTATAGTATACTTCGGCTACACAAGATGGCGCTCCATCCAATAGGTTTCCACAAGTGATAATCTGTGGTTTTACAAAGCTCCGCAGCTATTAGTAGATGGCGCCAGTGGTGGCCTTCGAACATGTCAAACTTGACAACTGACAAGAATCCTAATGCGCCACCTGGCGGGATAAATCCGCAGTTTGGGTTCGCAAGAACCACTCTGCATACCACAAAATGAGAGATTTGTGCATTGCCGTTTAGAACGCTTATTTATCCACTATATTCGTTTATAATAATAAACAGCCTACATTCGAGTCAGTCCCCTGGTGGCACTGTAACAGTGAAGGATAGTTAGCTTTACAAAAAATAAAACAACGTGAACTTTAAATTTTTTCTTTAATCAATAATTTAAAGCTTACAGGAGACATATCTCGTGTTGTTACGTAAGCGCCGGCGCGGGCCCCGCCGCCATTGCGGCTCACAATTCCCAAAAACAGAATTTCGCCTCTATTGCGTCTACATAACCGAAACGGCGTGCGCATCTAATGCGATCGCCGAACCAACGCACAAAACAAAATCTCAAACACTTCATGATTAAGTTCCTCTCAAATCCATTTCAAAATCACATCGAAATCGAGTCCTGCGCTTTGGCTAACGTCAGTTTTCTGTCAACGGCGCGACCCACAGAGGCTTCGAGTTTACCGCCAAGTTTGTTTTGAAAATTACTTATTCTAAAAACACCGAAGATTATTCATGCCCAGTTCCATAACTACAGTAGGCACTGACCTTTACAATGAAAACTGACTCTCTAAAATACCATGCCCTGTGTGGACCGCGCCTTATTCACTGGTGTACTAAAACAAAGGCGAAGTGAAGGAATTGTATACAGGTATTGCTTGCGGTCGTCGTATTGAGCGGATGTTTTACGAGAGATCCTACGCGATATCCAAAGTCCTAACTAATATCTTTATACACTGGGAATTCGACAAAAACCGAACCTGTTTATTATGAAGGAGTTTAGATAAAACTTAAGAAATCTCTCGATGGACGGTACCGAAACTACTCTAAACCAGGAGTTTTCCAAAATGATATAATTGACACGCGAATCCGCGGACTCGCCTGACGTCATCGGATCGAATCGAATCGTAAAACCTTTAAAAAAATATATTTAGGAATTTCAAAACACAAATGGGATAACGGACACACTTGTGCTAATCCCGAAAATTGTCGTACAAAATAATTCGCGAATGACAACTAAAACGGCCATCCTAAAATGTCTATCCGCTAACAATAAATGTATAGACATGAATAATGACGAATATTTCTTTGTTTTTAACGTAAATCTTTCTCCTCCTCACGAAAATGACATAGTAAGAAAAAATGCTTACAAACACAACCTTAAGACATACAATATACCGCTCACACACACTCGCACACTCGCTCGATGTCTCGCGTCGCTGCGTCACGGCGCGGGACATATTCCAAGAAGACATCAAGATAAACGTAAAGGGAGCTGACAGAGGGTCGACAAACAATAATAACACTTATGTCGTGGCCAGACGGCGAGACTAGGCACTACACGTTAAATATCTACAAAGAAATACATCAAAAGTTCCCTCCCATCAGCTGCTACCTGGATCACGAGGACACTTGCTGGCGCGACGTAATACTTCTGGAGAGATAAAGACAGAAACACTAAACCGTCAACGACCAGCTCGACGAACACCTGAATCGGTAAACTGAAGTCGATCGAGCACATCGATTGACGTCACAAATGCGAAGATTGAAATATGTAATAGAACATGAATTTTATTAGAACATCAGCAATAATCGAAGGGATGTCTTATTATTTCCAATGGATCATCACTATTTGGTCTTTTTTATATTGCCTATGTCAGATAAAATAATGCCCAACATTCATGTTATTCTTATAGCACAACTTAGTCAAAGGCTGTTCACGTGTTACATTATTATAACAAATGAATAGTTTAGAAATTTCTATCAATAGCAATTCAGGTATCTTAGTATATCAACATTATGTGCTGAAAGAAGATTGCATGTATTTAGGTATTATTTTATCCGTTTGGACTATCTAGCGACCGTAACTGTGCAAAACTAGGCCTGGGCCAAAATGCCCAATAGATAAATGGGACATCGAATATTAATTCCAACACCTATGTTACCTTCGTTGCTAGTTGTCTCCGACAAGGCTTTGTAACAGTAACAACGATTATATTTACAATTGACGGTGATCCTACAACATCCTATGGTTAAACTGAGGTATTGTTATTTGTATGTCTAGTACGTAGTCGGTTAACTTTAGACCCAATGAACGTTGACTGGGTTCGTCTTGGCTAGTATGTATTAAGTACTTTGAATTTGGGAATGATGAATTAATTTCATGGCATGTTTCACGAGGTCACACGAACTGTTGTGTTCTAACCTATATACCTAGCTTTGACGAGTTCATATCAACATCACATTCAGCTCATGTAAACACACCAATAATTATATATCCGTAGATTTTTGTATAATCACGAATTGGGTCAATAAGACCTTAATTTTGAAAAAGAAATATGAATTTCACGCTAAAAATAACGCATTCTAAACGTCGAATTGAGTATTTCATCTTAGCTTGCATCGAGCTATGTATATTCATAATTTACTTTGAATAGTGTCGAGAAGTGGCAATAGTTCATGCGAGAAATGAGAGCGTCAAACGTCACATTCGGGACCAAAGTTATCTGCGCAAATTTGAACCTTATTCCTTTGATTTGAACCGAAAATATTTAGGTCCCGAATGTGATCTCGACGGATTAAACTAAAAGCAAGTGTTTAAGGCAAACTTGCTGACATTTCTCGCGCGAAACTTGCGTCTAAATGACGGGAACACGTCATTTTTCCACTCGTGCGCAAGTATGGGCTAGGCGCGTGCCAATCATACGTATGCGCGACTGTTAGTAAAGTGATCATTAAGTAATAAAAGACGGTCAAGTTTAAAGTACTGGGAATTTTTTCAACAAAATCACAACATCACAATAGGATCTGAAGGGGCTCATATGTATGACTGGCGATAGTAGTCACCGAGTATACAGGGTGAGTTCACAACCGGTAGCCGAATTTAAAGGACACAATTACACCGTCAAATACGCTCGCGCGTTGTGAATTTTACCAATCAAAAATAAATTCTTGTCAGTGAAAATTCATTCGTTCTAATACCGCCATGTTTTCGGCCCGCCGATACTTTACTCTCATCCGTTCAAACACTTCAATCAATCTAAAACTAGATCAAACCGGAATTCCTATCTTGCACAACATTACATCTCTATACAGGAACATAAAACAGCTCATCGTAACATCTCACCGAATACGAGCGATACATTACACGGTAGAAATCCCGATTCGATTTCAAAACTAGCAAAAAAGACCAACATCCGGCTACCGATCGCAGCCCTGTATCGTCCGCGCCAATACTATTTGTCAATTTTGCACACAAAGCAGAATATCACTCAAACTATCTATGTCTATTGATTTGATTTGTAATAAGACAGTTCAATCTTTCAAGTCAGTTATAAAGCTTTGTATGCAAAATTGGAGCGTATCGGCGCGGTTATTCGTAGTGGTGGGTGCTCATCAGCTCAGCGGTCGTCTCGGTGGCTCGGTTGGCTCAGTTGGCTCAGTTGCGCAGCGGAGGCGCGGGCGAGTGGTGGTGGCGCTCCAGGTCTTCGAGCGAGAGCGCGTTGGGCACGTGGACTGAAGGCAGCTTGCCGGCGGACGCACGCGCGAGAAGTTCCGGCGAGAACCAGCGAGCTAGCTGGTTGTCGCCGCCGCCGGACCCGCCGCCCATTTCTGACGATTTAAACTATCTTACCATTGTTGTTTTGAAGTGGCTCGCGCACGTTTTATGGTAACAGACTGTATGAGGGTTAAGGTGTGTAAAACTTGATGCAAACTCAAGCATTCATTAAAGTCAAAACAAAGGTAATCTAAAATTCAATCTTTTATCAATTTATTTTTATAATAATACAGTAAAGTAATTTCAGACATGAATCAACGTTGAATTTGAATCAAGTTTTGGGCATCGCAATGTATCATGATACTAGCATAGGATGAAATAGATCTACAGTTAGATTTTTCATTCCAGTCAGTAATTTGAAATTTAATTTATAGCGAAGTCCTCAGAAATATAGAGTAGAGTACATACCTCATAAAACCAAACAAAGACTAGGTAAATTACTGACTGAAATAGAAAATCGGGGAATGGTTCATAACAATTTTTTTCATCAACAATCAAAATATCTACGGTTTAATAATGATAAAAAATTACACTATTCCTGAATAAATAAAGCTGCAAATGTGTTAAAATCTTCGTGTCTTGATTTTTAAACAAAAATATTGCATGCAAATTCCTACATTTCAAAAACTTCTTTATTTCTATCAGACATAGGTATTAGTTTGCAAATCCATAGACACCAAGATCTTAGCATCATTGCAGTTGTAAATTTATTTGTTACAAACCACTTTCCACGCGGGGAAGAGCTAGTCTATAACAAACAAAATAATAACATATGAAGACCATCGAAATAACTGACATAAAATGTAAGATTACGTTTAAAAACACGCTGAACTCAAAGCAGGGCTTAAAAGAAGTCACTGTGTCGCCAAATTATGGAAAAATCACTGAGATGACACGTAATTTTATCCAAACAGGCGTTTAGAGTCGCTCTTTCTGAAGAACCAGAGCGTAAAGCAGTCAGCGCTGCAGGCTTAAAGGGGGGCGGTAAGAGACCCAGAAAAAAAAATCGGGACGTTGTGTAGAGGCTTGGGAGGCGTCATTTACTAGGAGGACTCTTAGACACCGACTGAGCACTCGATACTCGACTACAAATGGGGGCGCTAAAAATAATTTATACTCAAAGTGGGCAGTAGACAAAATAAGTTTGGGAACCGCTGGCGTAAAGCATGACTTTTGTTCTAATAAATAAATAAAGTCCAGAGCTTTCTCTTTTATATGTATGTAAATATACCGAGAAACGAGTTGTTACTACGTGAACTAAATTAACGTTGTCAGACGTTTCGTGTTATGTCCGACCATGTCATGTTATATTTATTTCAATTCAATTAGGGTTTTCGCGAATGAAAAATTCGCCAGACGGCAATACCTAGACGCGAGGTCCAAATGCTGCATGATTGGTTATTTTTGACATGACATTGACAGATATGTCAAAATCCACCAATCACGCAGCAGTCAGACCCCACATCCACGTCCCGCCATCTAGCGGATATTTCATTCGCGAAAACCCTCATTAAAGAGCCGTCTGTCATCCATCAGCATTAGCAGCAGCAGCAAGAGAAATTCAGTGTTACTTCAATGAAATTTTATTGTTATAGGCCTGTTTATGTCCTGTTGAATTCCACGTGTGCTTAAACGTTAATAAACGAATGTCCTAACAAATCATGTGTAGCACCTACAGGGTGACCACGAGGCGAGGTTCCCTGCGCATATTTACCATTGAGGCGGTTCTGGTGGGACTGCACGAGGAGCTGCTGCAGCGTGGTGCCCCCGACCATGCCTCGCGCCATGTTGTTCATGTTGTTGTACTGGAACCAAACAAATATGATTTCGATTATAATATGTATAGTTGTTGCAAATTGCAATTCACGAAGGGGAGCAAAGAATATATTTACTCTGTCGAGAAGAACGGCGACTCCATAAAAAAATAACTGGACTTTTCTTAACGCCATCTAGTTGGTGACTTTGGTACTAAGGCGGTATTTAATCTGTGCTTATGGCTACGTATTTTAGGCTATGTTATTATCATGACATAAAATCAATGACATAATATTATTATTATGTCATTGATTTTATGTTCTACCATTATTTTTAATTAATGCAAAAAACTTTTCAGAGGTAACTAAGCCCGTCAATATGATCAAGAAAATGATACTCAAACAATTAGAAACACATATTCTCTTTATTTAATATGATGTCTCGTGACTTAAACTAAAACACTAGATAAAAAGTCACTGTCTCCAAACTTAAATACCTACTAGAGCACTACTGAGTCTGTATCTCACAATCACACTAGACAATAATCTCCAACAGGATGATAAAACATTATTATCACAATAGATAAATATTAACACGAAAATCTTTGAATAGCCGTTTTTATATTTTGAAAGTTGTGACAAATTAATCACCTACAAACTGACAAATGACTTAAGTGTTGTCGTTTGAGAAAATCCTTATTAGATTTTTTTTGGATCGGGGAACACATTTAGCAGCCCACCTAATAAAATTCACAGTGCTGCCTACAAAGTCAACTGGGCCTGAAGGGGAGTGAGCTTTACATGTGTGGTAGCTCGCTAATGTTCGTTTTTCAAGTTTTGACAGACATTACACTATCAATGTGCATGTACATTGTACACGTACACAAGTAAAGCTCACTTGCATTCGTGAGTTGCAGGAACTGTACGTTCAATTCAATATTCAATTTAAATCATATTTTCAAAAGTTTGTCGCAATTTATTAAAATTACGCCACATTTGATTAATCTATAAAGTAACGTTACTAAGAAACACATAAAAATAGCACCAAAATTAATCAGATCATCAAAATGAAGAGACTTACCGAATTAGGTACTTGCTGTCTTTGCTGTGGGTGAGGAAATGGACGTCCTCCACCGACCATCTGGGGACAAAAGAGTGTGTACCATTTGCATTAGTCCAAGTTAAAAGTTTATGTAGGTGACGTCACATACATACAAGTATAGTTCTTGCAACTCACGAAGGCAAGTGAGCTTTACTAGTGTGTGTACGACGTACCTGTACATGCACATAACGATAGTGTAATGTCTGTCAAAACTTTTGTAAAACGAACAGTAGCGACTAGCGAGCCACCACACATGTAAAGCTCACTCACCTTCGTGAATTGCAACACTATATTATGTGATTGAGGTACCGACCTGCTGTTGGTTGAGATAGTGCTGCTGGTATTCAGACTGTGACTGGCCGTAGCCCATTGGTGCCGCTCCACTCTGGTTTCCCTGCACACAAAACCTTGTCAGTATTTCAAACTTCAAGTAATAAGAAAACTGAAAAGGTAGGTAGAAGACTGAATTAGTGAAAGAACGACCACGCCTGCCGCTTATTGTGCAGGATGATTAGAATTTTTATCAGTCATTTGAATTTTCTTTATGTTTTAGAAGACACTACTTCTCGTACATACCTTGACGATTGGCCGCCCTTGGGGCATCTTGGGCGGCTGCGCCCACTGTTGCTTTGGGCTGGGCGCCTCTGATTCTTTCTCGGCTGTCATTTTGCGCAGCACCTGGAAATGAAAAAATAAGTTATGGTTTTGTCTATCAAAGTAACAGAGGGAGAGCTTGTTTCTCTCAGGGTGACTTCTCTGATCAGCAAAGTGGACCAAGTAAATCGTAATTCATCTGGGTGGTACCTACCACAGCTTAGTTCTTGCAGGAGGGGTGATGTGAAGTAATAGAGTGTCACGGGATACAGGTCCTAAGCACATTTGAAGGGACGCTGGACGTAACGACGTAACGTTATTGACATTCTTACTTGACATATCATTTACATGCCAATATCTTGGTAAAACATGTTGTATCACCTGTTAAAACTGTAAGACCAAATCATGTTGCTCTGTAATATGTTTTCACACATGTTTATGTAAATAAATATCTTTATCTTTTATCTTTAACAACCTACATGTACCTGGGTCTTGCCGTATCGCTCCACGCCATAACAAAATATTTACTGAATTGCTGCTCCTAAATACTCACAGAAGTGGGCGTGAAGGAGATGGGAGTGGGCTGTTTGGGCGCCTCGTGGCGGCGGCGGTAGTTCTCGCGCTGCTCCTCCAGCTTCTTCTTGATGAGCGCTCCCTGCATGATGCTTTGTGTATGCGCGGCCAACTCTCGCGGCGACGGGATACGCGCGGGCACACCTGTAGACGTGAATTTACATTTTTAACGCGCTCATTTAACGTGGCTTTAAGATTTCAAGTCTTTTAGGCCTAAAATCAACAGTGAATCACAAGTGACGACACTACAACATTCAGAAATAAAGACTACCACTACGTAAGTGTTAATATTACCTGGATGGTGCACCGATAGCGTGTTAGGGCTAGCGGCCATGATCGGCGACACACAGTACGCTGCGTCCATGGTGCGAATAAGGTTTTATTAGTGATACTTTTAGGCAACCGATTATAAAAGTTATATTCATATTTCCAAATGGAACCGATTTAACGTGCATATTTGTATGAGACCGTAAATAGCCTGCTCACGAAAACTATTTAAAAATACATTGAAAAAGAGTGATTTCATAAATAATACATTTACAGTACAGTAAATACAACAGTATAACTAGTTAGGAATAGTGGAACCATTTTTTTTTGTTTCAATATTGCTCGACTTGCCGGAGAACTAAACGTATAACTTAATAAATGTCATAAAACGATCAATGTACAACATTTTCCTGAACCTAAAATGGTCAAAAGCGCCTACTGTGCCGTGCAAAAATGCACCCTATGCTCGATCCGGCTCGAAGATGTACGGGTAGGAAACAGTGGTTGTAAAAGTCAGCGCACACTTTAAAGCGATCCAGCGCGTTGCATCGCGCCAGGAGGCGGACCTTTCTATGTGATTGATTTTATACCAACTAGAACTAGAACGTTACAAAAATGTATATGCACTGGCTGGCTAGGCACCGCTCCCGTGCCCAGGATAATCATCAATCCAGCTCGACAATCTAAATATATAAAAGGAGAAACTGACTGACTGATATATCAACGCACAGCCTAAACGGCTAAACTAAGCTAAATTCCCACGGGAACTGGAATTAGCGGGAAAATCTTTTTGTAAGAAAAATCTAAACCGCTTAAGTTAGACGCTTGAAATTTGGCATGCAGGTACCTTAGTAAACTTAAGGCTTAGTTACAACAGGATATTGCAAAATTCCCACGGGAACGGAAGTTAGCGGGAAAAAACATTTGTATGAAAAAATCTAAACCGCGTAAGATAGATGAAGGGGGTAAAACGGAATCCACGCGTACGAAGTCACAGGCGGCCGTTAGTAAGTATAATGTAATAAAACATGTGGTCCATACCATTGTACTCGCTGGGGTGAGGCAGCGGCGACAGGCGGAGCGGCTGGTGGTGCGGCGGGACTACCAAATGCGGCGCCGCGCCCACGCCCACGCTGGGCAGGGGAGAGCCGCCCATCTGTGGGATACACTCAGCTTTAGTATAATATACACTACCAAAAATCAACTAACTTCGAACTCCTCCTATGTTCTTCTGATTAATTTCGTTGCGGGTCCAATGACAGTTTAACTTGACCTTCACTGGTTGGGTTTTTATTGGCGGTCAAGTTGTAGAGATCCTGGCTACACACACAGGAGTTGCAGCGGTGGGAATAGTCCCGTTCCAAAAATCAAGTTTGTTTCAGCTAAATGACGCCCACTGCGGGACAAAGGCCTCCTCCAAGGACTTTTACAACAACCGGCCCTGTGCTGCCCGCATCAGGGTGCTTTCCGCTACATTCAGCAGATCATCGGTCCACCTAGTGGTCCGAAAACACCAAAAAATAACTCACAATAAAACGTTTTGTCAAATGTTTCCACAACTTTATACTTTCGGTTTGGTTGGTGGTAGGGCTTGTTCTAAGTCCGCCTGGCTAGCTACCACCATCTTACCTAAGTCTGTCGCCATAACAACATGTTAACAGCATTGTTGTGTTCAGGCAGTTAGAGGTAAGATAGCCAGTTCCTCTGTGGTTGAGGATTCCGGGTGAAGCTCGCTTCCACCTTCGGCCTGATCATCACTTACCATCAGGTGAGATACAGGCCAAGAGCTTCTTCGTTGTGGATAAAAAAAAAGACTCAACTAAAGCCTGGTCCGTGAGCACGTAGAATTTTTTCCAACGACCTCAAGCTACCCATCCTTATCGTTCGCGTGTAATTATGTTGCTTTCGCGCTCGCACACTCACTGCGGGCGCCCGTCGTACAGTCGCGACAGCAATATAATTACGCGCGAGCGATAAGGATGGGTAGCTTGGGGTCATTGGACAAAATTCTACGTGCTCACAGACCGGGCTTTAGAACATTCGAAACCGAATAACGTTTTTGAGTAAAACCGCTGATGTTATGTCAAGATTATGTTCAAGCTAACGTGTTCTTTTGACTTGAACTATGTTTTTTTAGAAGTAATGAGGGTGTTTACGATTGAAAAATCCGCCAGATGGTGGGACGTGGATGTAGGGTCCGGCTGCTGCGTGATTGGTGGATTTTGACATATCTGTTAATGTCATGTCAAAAATAACCAATCATGCAGCATTTGGACCTTGCGTCTACGTATTGCCATCTGGCGGATTTTTCAATCGCAAACACCCTCATTGTCCCGTTTCTTTATGGTCCCCCCAACTAGTACCCAGTCTGACCTGGCGCTGGTGCTGCAGCCGCAGGATGGTGAGCAGCACGTCGCGGTGGCGGCTCTGCAGGCCCGGGTTGCTGAGCTGCTGCATGATGTGCTGGACCGTGATCTCGCCGGCCTTCAGGCCTGCGGGAGAAAGAATATACATGTTGACACCACCACTCAATTGACGTACTTTTTAAAACTGTCAAAACGAAACTCTCCCATAGATTTTGTATGGCACTACAAGCAAGTGACGTCACTATTTTGTCAACTCAAATAAACTACTTTTTTCAATTACAATGCGACTAAAAATCATAATTTACGGGTAATTTAAAATTAATTAAGTTTTTAAGACCAGAATGAAGTGTATTTTTAGAAAAGTTGTGATTTCGAATTATTGGAGAATGGTGTCAAATTGTCCATTGGTTAATACGGCTATATTTGCTGTGGTATTCGAGCAATCCTAAACGAGAAAAAAGCTATAAATTCGGATGTGAGGTTCTAAACTAAATCCGTCTACTGCTGGACAAGGGACATCCCCGGGAATTTCCACAACGATTGGCAGCTAATTGCTTTCCGTTCACTAGAGTGACTACATCATTGGTCCACCTAGTGGGAAATTGCCTACACTCGAGTCTTCATATTCATGGTCCCTTCCTATGAGCTTTATCTCGAGCGGGTTTATGTCACCCAAAGAGCCATAATTTCCTTACGTGATTGAATCAGTAATGAGGAGATTGATAAAAGAACCAAAGCAACCGACATAGTTCACAGAATTTCCTGTCTATGTAGCGGTGGGAGGGGCACACAAACAACCTATTGTAGAACTTATGGACGTAGGGTAGGGACATGAAATCTCAAATCGTGAGGTATTACACTGCAATGAGGGTTTTCGCGTATGAAAGATCCGCTAGATGGCGGGACGTGGATGTGGGGTCTGACTGCTGCGTGATTGGTGGATTTTGACATATCTGTCAATGTCATGTCAAAAATAACCAATCATGCAGCATTTAGACCTCGCGTCTACGTATTGCCATCTGGCGGATTTTTCATACGCGAAAACCCTCATTCTAATGCTGAAACCGCTAAAATTGCTGCAATGTAACTGTATTGCTGTAGCTGCTATCACGTGAGAGTTTCCTTACCGTGAACAAGCGCCTGCGCTTCAGGCCGCTGCAAGAGCTCGCGGTCAGCGCTGTGGAGCCCCATTTCACCCGCCTGCTGCTGCTGCTGCCGCTGCTGAAAGACAATCATACAATTAGAGCTTGTTCCCACGGAGACAGCCCATTTTTTGCAGGATCCCGTTTAAATTAAAAAAAAAAACTATATACAGGGCATTATATCGAGCATCCTGATGAACCTGAACATGGAATTATAAGGCTCAAAACAATAAACATTTGTTAGAAACATATCATTTTCGCCATTTTCTCAATAGTATTTCTATGAGGCGTATATTATTTTTTTATGCTAGACAAGGCAGGTATTTGACCGCAATCGCACCTGGTGTTAAGTGAGATGAAATGCAGTATTGTATTACCTGTACCTGCAGGAGCTTGTATAGGAGCTCCTGCGGGATATGCGGCTGCTGCTGCTGCTGCTGCTGCTGGGCCTTTTGCTGCTCCATGCTCTTGTTTAACATCTGCAGAACAATGTCACATGACAATTCATTCATTAGGCAAATTGGGTCTATAGTCCGGTCACCGAGAACGTAGAATGAGGGCTTTCTTTTTGATACTTAGCAGTTGGCACCCCTGGCGATTGACAGGACTTTACTCTACAGTGGCGCCATCTTGATGAGTGCAAATGCGATAGTCCTTCTACCACTTTAGCGCTCACAAGTTGGTGCCACTGTCTTCGCTACTAGCAAGTGACAGGACCTTACTCTACAGTGGCGCTAACTGGTGAGCGCTAAAACGATAGCCCTCATTTCGTCCAATGACCCCGAGCTATCCATCCTTATTGCTGTCGCTACTGTGCGACGGACGGCCGCAGCGAGTGTGCGAGCGCGACAGCAATATAATTACGAGCGAGCGATAAGGATGGGTAGCTCGGGGTCATTGGACGAAATTCTACGTGCTCGGCGACCCTTTAGTTGACAACAATTTAGTTATTTGTAAATGCAATTTTTCAACAAATATGTGTAGTTTTAAGTGGAGAACATGTAGTTTAATGAAGTCATACCTGCAACAGGCTCATGGGCTGCGGCTGCGGCGGAGGATGGCGCTCCGGCGCCGCCGGCACCGCGTGTCCTCCAGACACTTGCGCCAGCTGGGAATAAACGAAGTATTATTGCTAGAACTAAGAAACTACGGTACTTTTTGATGGAACCAATGTATAAAACTAATACAATTTGAAACTAAGTTTAGATATAATACGTGACGTGAGTCGCAGCTTATTTTGTCAATAGTCGCGATGCAAATTACGTCTAAAACTTCATGCATTCACAATAAAGTACAGAAATGGATGAACAAAAAGGCCTAATTAATGGTGCAAGTCGTTGAGCTAAACAAGCTAAACAAGAGGGCTGCAGGGGAAGGGTTCTGTGGTGTGTTACCGACGCATGAAACCTCCGAAACGTGAAGTTAATTTTTAATATTTTAGTTTGCCTGACGTCTTGTCAGTTATGAATGGTAGTATTCGAGAACTGGTGATTGCAGATGGTATGAATATGGTGAATGGTAAAGTCCGGTTGCCGAGTACACACGCCCACACTGTTAACTATCCATTTCCGTTTTTGCTCTCGCTCTAATCAAATTGCGATTCTTTGCGATAGAACGAGATGACATGACTTTCAATGGGCAGTTAACAATGTTGGCGATAGTACATAGCTCGCACACTCACTGCGAGCGCCCGTCGCACAGTCGCGACAGCAATATAATTACGCGCGAGCGATAAGGATGGGTAGCTTGGAGGGGTCATTGGACGTATTTCTATCTGCTCGGCGACCGGACTTTAGATCTACTCACGAGGCGCTTGAAGGCCGCCAGCTCGTGGTCGGCGGGCGCGGGCGCGGTGGGGGCGATAAGGATGGGTAGCTTGGGGTCGTTGGCCGAATTTCTATCTGCTGCGACCGGACTTTGGATGGTACAGTCTACTCGGTCGGCCGGGTGGTCGGCGGCTGTTGAGAACCAGCTCGCACACTCACTGCGTGCGCCCGTCGCACAGTCGCGACAGCAATATAATTACGCGCGAGCGATAAGGATGGGTAGCTTGGGGTCGTTGGCCGAATTTCTATCTGCTGCGACCGGACTTTGGATGGTACAGTCTACTCATGAGGCGCTTGAAGGCCGCCAGCTGGGGGCGGGTGCTGCGGCCGCTAGTCCTCTACAAGGTCAACTGCTGAGAACCAGCTCGCACACTCACTGCGGGCGCCCGTCGCACAGTCGCGATAGCAATATAATTACGCGCGAGCGATAAGGATGGGTAGCTTGGGGTCATTGGGCGAATTTCTATCTGCTGCGACCGGACTTTGGATGGTACAGTCTACTCACGAGGCGCTTGAAGGCCGCCAGCTGGGGGCGGGTGCTGCGGCCGCTAGTCCTCTACAAGGTCAACTGCTGAGAACCAGCTCGCACACTCACTGCGGGCGCCCGTCGCATAGTCGCGACAGCAATATAATTACGCGCGAGCGTTAAGGATGGGTAGCTTGGGGCATTGGCCGAATTTCTATCTGCTGCGACCGGACTTTGGATGGTACAGTCTACTCACGAGGCGCTTGAAAGCCGCCAGCTCGTGGTCGGCGGCTGCAGAGAACCAGCTCGCACACTCACTGCGGGCGCCCGTCGCACAGTCGCGACAGCAATATAATTACGCGCGAGCGATAAGGATGGGTAGCTTGGGGTCGTTGGACGAATTTCTATCTGCTGCGACCGGACTTTAGATGGTACAGTCTACTCACGAGGCGCTTGAAGGCCGCCAGCTCGTGGTCGGCGGCTGCTGAGAACCAGCTCGCACACTCACTGCGGCCGCCCTTCGCACAGTTGCGACAGCAATATAATAGACAGTTTGACACCATACCCCAATAATTCGAAACCACAACTGTTTTAAAAAGACCCTTCATTCTGGTCATAAAAACTTAATTTATTTTAAATTACCTGTAAATTACGATTTTTGTTCGCATTGTAATTGCGTAAAAGTTGTTTAATTGAGTTGACAAAATAGTGACGTCACTTGCTTGTAGTGCCATACAAAATCTATGGGAGAGTTTCGTTTTGACAGTTTTAAAAAGTACGTCAATTGACTGTGGTGTCAACATGTCTATTACGCGCTAGCGTTAAGGATGGGTAACTTGGTGGGGTCATTGTACGAATTTCTATCTGCTGCGACCGGACTTCAGATAGTACAATCTATTCACGAGGCGCTTGAAGACCGCCAGCTCGTGGTCGGCGGGGGCGGGTGCTCCAGGCTCCGCAGCCGGCCGGGGGGGCTACAGACGAGGGGGGGCTGGGGGACACATACGAGGCGCTTGAAGGCCGCCAGCTGGGGGCGGGTGCTGCGGCCGCTAGTCTTNGCTACAAAGCCTCGTTAAGATTTTTTTTTCGGACTGGAGAGACGGTCTTGTGTTTTAGTCATATAACGTCCCTAATTAGTTGACCACGACTGTATGTAGTGGCATATAATACTGGAACAAGAAAAAAATAAAAACAAGAGTAAACTGAGCAGTGCCACCCATTCACCAACAAGATGCCTACTACAACGGGACCCCATTCAGCATATGCCGTGGCCCACGGTGACGAAGGCCACGGCGCTGGTTTTCAGTGTGCCCCATGCCGAGTGAGAGTCACGGACCATTGGTAAAATAAATAAGTAAGTTTCGCTGTAGTTTTGACGTAACAAAATCACCCGATGGCTCTACGCCGCAAGAAAATACAAATTGTTGCTTCTCCAGCTTTTTAACGATGATGATGATGGTGCTAAGTACTCACAGATGTGGGCGTAAAGGAGATGGGAGTGGGCTGTTTGGGCGCCTCGTGGCGGCGGCGGTAGTTCTCGCGCTGCTCCTCCAGCTTCTTCTTGATGAGCGCTCCCTGCATGATGCTTTGCGTATGCGCGGCCAGCTCGCGCGGCGACGGGATACGTGCGGGCACGCCTGTAGACGTGAATTGACATTTTTAACGCGCTCATTTAACGTGGCTCTAAAGCCACCTAAGTTCATTCAAAATTTTTAGGTCTGAAATCAACAGTGAATCACAAGTGACGACACTACAACATTCAGAAATAAAGACTACTACTACGTATGAGTTAATATTACCTGGATGGTGCACCGATAGCGTGTTAGGGCTAGCGGCCATGATCGGCGACACACAGTACGCTGCGTCCATGGTGTGAATAAGGTTTTATTAGTTATGCCTTTAGCCAACTGATTTTAGAAATTATACATGTACCTATGTATACTAAATGACGCTGTTTACGTGTGTATTATAATAAAAGTCGCGAGAACAATTATAACTACATTGTCTACTCTAGAAGAAAAAAAAACCTAAATATTACTAGAGCCTTATTTAGGAACATTTTTTAAAAATATTTGCACAAGGCTGTAATTTATAGAAACTAAACGCATCGTAAATGCAGTTCACACAGGTCTTGTAAGGATCAAAGTAGAATAGACCTTTTTTCGGTAAATAAAATGTTTAAGAGCTTGCAAAAATGCACCCTGTGTAAAAATAAATTAAGTTGTAATGCCGAGTTGGTAGTGTCATGTCTATTGCATTGGACATTTTCCTGAACCTAAAACGGTAAGAGGCGCTTACTGTGCCGTGCAAAAATTCAATCAACGTAAAGGTAAACTAGGTCATTTCCGTCATATCGATAGTGTAATGTAATGAGGGCTATCTAGCGCTCACCAGTTACTATTGCATTGGACACTCCAGAACCTAAAACGGTTAAGAGGCGCTTACTGTGCCGTGCGAAAATCCAATCAACGTAAAGGTAAACTAGGTCATTTCCGTCATATCGATAGTGTAATGTAATGAGGGCTATCGTTTTAGCGCTCACCAGTTAGCGTCACTGTAGAGTAAGGTCCTGTCACTTGCTAGTAGCGACGACAGTGGCACCGACTGGTGAGCGCGAAAGTGGTAGGAGGACTATCGCATTTGCACTCATCGAGATGGCGCCACTGTAGAGTAAGGTCCTGTCAATCGCCAGGGGTGCCAACTGTTAAGTATAAAAACGATAGCCCTCATTAAACATGTGGTCCATACCGTTGTACTCGCTGGGGTGAGGCAGCGGCGACAGGCGGAGCGGCTGGTGGTGCGGCGGGACTACCAAATGCGGCGCCGCGCCCACGCCCACGCTGGGCAGGGGAGAGCCGCCCATCTGTGGGATACACTCAGCTTTAGTATAATATACACTACCAAAAATCAACTAACTTCGAACTCCTCCTATGTTCTTCTGATTAATTTCGTTGCGGGTCCAATGACAGTTTAACTTGACCTTCACTGGTTGGGTTTTTATTGGCGGTCAAGTTGTAGAGATCCTGGCTACACAGGAGTTGCAGCGGTGGGAATAGTCCCGTTCCAAAAATCAAGTTTGTTTCAGCTAAATGACGCCCACTGCGGGACAAAGGCCTCCTCCAAGGACTTTTACAACAACCGGCCCTGTGCTGCCCGCATCAGGGTGCTTTCCGCTACATTCAGCAGATCATCGGTCCACCTAGTGGTCCGAAAACACCAAAAAATAACTCACAATAAAACGTTTTGTCAAATGTTTCCACAACTTTATACTTTCGGTTTGGTTGGTGGTAGGGCTTGTTCTAAGTCCGCCTGGCTAGCTACCACCATCTTACCTAAGTCTGTCGCCATAACAACATGTTAACAGCATTGTTGTGTTCAGGCAGTTAGAGGTAAGATAGCCAGTTCCTCTGTGGTTGAGGATTCCGGGTGAAGCTCGCTTCCACCTTCGGCCTGATCATCACTTACCATCAGGTGAGATACAGGCCAAGAGCTTCTTCGTTGTGGATAAAAAAAAAGACTCAACTAAAGCCTGGTCCGTGAGCACGTAGAAATTTTTCCAACGACCTCAAGCTACCCATCCTTATCGCTCGCGTGTAATTATGTTGCTTTCGCGCTCGCACACTCACTGCGGGCGCCCGTCGTACAGTCGCGACAGCAATATAATTACGCGCGAGCGATAAGGATGGGTAGCTTAGGGTCATTGGACAAAATTCTACGTGCTCACAGACCGGGCTTTAGAACATTCGAAACCGAATAACGTTTTTCGGAGTAAAACCGCTGATGTTATGTCAAGATTATGTTCAAGCTAACGTGTTCTTTTGACTTGAACTATGTTTTTTCAGAAGTAATTGTCACGTTTCATTATGGTCCCCCCAACTAGTACCCAGTCTGACCTGGCGCTGGTGCTGCAGCCGCAGGATGGTGAGCAGCACGTCGCGGTGGCGGCTCTGCAGGCCCGGGTTGCTGAGCTGCTGCATGATGTGCTGGACTGTGATCTCGCCGGCCTTCAGGCCTGCGGGAGAAAGAAGAAATCAGTTAATACGGCTATATTTGCTGTGATATATGAGGTCTGTTTCAACCAAAATACGTCATTGCTGGATAAAAGCCTCCCCCAAGGATGCCCACAACTATCGGCAGCTTCAAAGCCTGCACGAGAACAAGTTAAAACAGGGTACAATCGTTATGGTCCGTTCCTAGATAAAGTCATCAACTGCTGAAAGGAAGCCTCCCCTAAGAATTTCCACAGCGATCTACGCTGCCCGCAGGTATAATGGGGATGTTGCCTGGGTCAAAAAGCAAGAGTTTTAATTAGTCCGTCAGTTAACTTATCAAAAAATACTCTACACGTATTTTTCACTTTTTCAAACTAATGAAAATTTAAAGAGATAAAGCGCCCCAAAGTTCATAAGAAGAGGCCCGTGACGTCAACGCTTGCTTAAAAATGCCGCACGTTGTGACGTCGTGCGCAACTTCAACGCACCATAACTATGTAATTATTTGTTAGATTGACAAATAAAAATATACGTGTCCAATATTTTTTGATATTAAACATTATGGACTA